TTACTCTCGGGGCAGCGGCAGCGGCGGCGCCCCTCTCCGCTGAAACACACCGTCGACGAACACGCCATTCTTGCCCAAGCACCGGAGGGAGAACCCGTGTGCCTCGTCGTAGGTGATCTGCAGATGTCGCCGTGAAATGAAACTCGAATGACCCATGTTAATGTCCACCGAGCCGTGAGACGAGTTCCGGCCGATGGTGACCGTCCTCTGGCGCATGACAAACTCAAAGTCCCGGCCCTCGAGTCTGGCCAGGGCCTGTGGAGGAGGGCACGCCAGGCGAATGGGAAGAATCCCGGCGTCGGCACGGGTTTCCACCAGCGGAGGACCCAAGAAGCCAAACGGAGGCTGGTGATAGGGGTGCGAGGTCACCGCAACGCGCACGGGACTGCACGGTGCCGACTGTAAAGCCAGCAGGGCCCGAGCTCCGGTGTCTTCCCGGTAGTCTGCCATCTTCTTTTCGCAGGGTTCAACTATAAAAAAAAAAAAAAAAAAAAAAAGAGAAGCACACTTTTACTTCTCTCACACACACTCAAGAGTTGCAACGAGAGAGTTTTTCGGCGAGGGCACTTGTTCACTCCGTGGCTGACAGAACAACATGGAGTCCGGGTCCGGGTCCGGGGAAAGACGGGACCGGATCCTCCGCAGGAACGGGTATGGTGCTGCGTTCAGGGCCGCCTTTTTACGAGTATCTTTTTATTTACCTATTCGCATCACTGTTTATTTAAGGTGTAACAACAGGATTTGCGTGTAAGTTTTTTTTTATGCGATAGACGTCCAAAGAAAGTTGTTAAAATGTAGATTTTCCAGTTTCCTATTGCTTTAATTTTAGTTTATGGTTATTTTGTTACTAAACACATAAAAACTCCGCTAATAGAATAGAGTTACTTTATTGATCCCAAACTGGGAAATTATGGCGTTACAGAAGCAGGTTATCCAACACACAATATGAGTAAAAAACACAATGTTAGCAAATCTAAACATAATATAATATTAAATACAAAGTAAATAAGTACTAAAAGATATCAGAAATAAGAATGTGAATATATACAACCAGGATTTAACTCAGCATTACTAGTTTTAAATAGGAAGATTAAATATGGAAGATTGAATGTAAATGTGCAAAAACAGAGTCGTAGATGGTTATAAATTAAATATGAAAGATTAAATGTAAATGTGCAAAAACATAGTTGTAAATGGTTGTAAATTAAATATGAAAGATTAAATGTAAATGTGCAAAAACAGAGTTGTAAATGGACAGTATTGACATAAGTTAAAAGCAGAAACTATTAGCAGAAACTATACAATATAACGGCGAGTAGACAGCCAAATGAAGTGAACATGAGTGCAGGGATAATTTGTAAATTTAACATGTGCAGAACAGATTACAGTATGGAGAGACAGATATTATTATGATGACAGTTCTCTGCTCGCATGAGGTGAGCTGTTGTACAGAGTGTTGAAGTCTGGCGTCTACTTAAATAAGATACAATTACATTAAACAAGACACACTGCTTCTAATTGAATAAAGAAAATACTTTAGGAGAAGTTATCATGACAGTGACAAACCATAACAAAACATCATGACTGGGAGTTCTCTTCCTTGAACGCAACATGTGGGCACCTCGATTGATAGGATACAGTTGGTGTCGTCACACCAGAAAACTGCAGAACGAAGTATCTCGAGATTTGTGATCAAGTTTTGTGTTATTGAGAGTTTACGATTTATTTGTCTTTACTTTCATGTCATTCCGGAATTGTGAATGGTAACCAGAACATATGTTTCTAGGAATTGGACAAGGCATATAAAGGCTAGTCAGACCAATCAGCTGTCATATTGATTGGAACTAATTATTTATTTTTAATTGTTTGTCTTATCATTTAAGATACAGTGTAATGAAGATAAATGAGAAAATAATGATTGACAGGCTTTGTCTATTATCATCGATTGTTGAAATGCTTAGATAGAAGCCTGCACAGTTTTCCTCTATCCCAGCCCCCAAGAACATGTGGTGTCTGCAGGGAAGCTGGTTTGCCCACCTCAGACTTTTTTCTTCTTTTTTTTTTTTTATCTCTACCCTCTGTTTATAAACATGGAAAGAACAAGATGGATGTAAAACTCGGATAATGGATCTTTGAAGGAGCCGGAGGGTGTACATTTACCAAAAAGGATCAGCCACATGAGTGCGCTGTTGTGACATGAAGCGTTCATAGAAACAGAGTCAACACTGGCACACAGATTTCTCGAAAGGCACTGAAAAGAAGAAAAAAAGTTTCACTTATCTTAGTCATGTTCTTTTAGTGCTATTAATTGGCTTTCAAAGGGGAGACATTTCATTGCAAGTGTAACTAGCTATTGGTCACTCAAAAAATAACGATTTTATTTCTGTACAAAACATTTGAAAAGCTTATTAAAAATTTTGTTGGATAATTAATTCCATAAAATAAATTGACAACTATCTTGAAAATAACTTAAGTAATTTTTCCACGTAGTTGTTAAAAAAAAAAACTAGCTGCTCTTTTTTCTAATAATATCCAGATTTGGATGTTGGTCGGATCAAAAAATACATAAAGAAAATATTACTCTTCTCCAAAAAAAAAGACAAAAAATAAATGTATTTCTGCTCTTAACATTTTTAAAATCAAACAGTGATGGACATAATAATAAATTGCATTCCTGTTTAAAAAAAATAACTTTTCACAAACAAAATAAAAACATGATTTCTTACTAAATGAACAGTAATATTATTTTTATTTGAATTGTCCATTTACTTTAATCAAGCAACAAGTCTTTGTTTGTATAGCACCTATTCATAAAAAAGACACTTTACAAAAAGAATAGGTTTAGACTGCACTTTTTGTTATATTATTTACAAAGACCTTAATAAAATTTGGCGAAGTTACAGTGGCAGGGAAAAACGACTTTTTAACAAACAGAAACCTCGAGCAGAACGCGACTCATGATGAACAGCCATCTGCTGCTACTGTGCCGGGCCTAAAATGTGATAGAGGGCGATAGAAACAAACAGAGCAAAAATAACAGCATTGAATAAATGAATTTATAGCTACAATGCCAGTAAGAATGATAAAAATAGGTTGTATTAGCTGTATCAACAATGTATGATATAGACTGATCATTCTGTATATAAATATTCATTTATCATGACATTTACAGAATCACATGCTGTGTTGTGGTCTGGGGAAATGTATATAAAGTCAAAACTGATCCCATAATTAAACTCCAGAAAAGAGCTAAGTCATAAATAAAGCTGGTTACTATGATTAAATATTTTTTTCATTTACAAGGTTCTTCTTATCTTAAATATTTACTTTGTTTGTATAAACATGACTTTTTCAAGCTAGAAAAAAGTCTGTTGATACTCAACCATTTTTCAATTAAGAGAAGGTCATTGTAATTTAAGAGGGTCATGTACGTTTGTAACATCAAATACAAATCTGTCTCAGTTTTGTGAGTCAAACTATGGAACAGCCTAAGTGATGAGTTGAAATTGTGTTGTACTCTACAGCAGTGGTTCCCAAAGTAGGGGTCGCGGCCCACTGGGGGGGGTCGCGGAACACTGTTAAGGGGGTCGCAAAACTCCTTTCAAAAACATATGAAAATGGTTTAAAATTGGATATTTCACCCATTAATTTGAAAATAAAGTAGGTAAAAAAAGTACTCTTAAAGTTGTCTTACAATAAATTACAAAAATAATATGATGGTGTATGGGCTATTGTTTGCTGTTTTAATGCCAGTGTTTTGACCTAGTGCGTAAAATGTGGGGTCCCAAGTATCTATCACCGTCATAATGGGGGTCACAAGCTAAAAAGTTTGGGAACCCCTGCTCTACAGAGTCTAACAAAAACCATAAAATGTAAATTAATGAATAATTAAAACATAAAATTGTGAAGAATTAAGGAACAATTTAGAGTTCATCTGCTTTGTTTTTCTTTCTTTTTTGTATTGCTGATGTTCTGGGTTATATCAGGGTTATATTAAGGATTGTATAGGATAGGTAGCAATAAGCCTGGGCTCAGCCTATTCCTTTTTTTGGTCATTGATTGTTTGAATTTTATTTTGTGAAATGGACCGGTGTAAACATGTCAAGTGTTTCTTTGTATCTGTAAGTGGAATATTTACACACAATGTACTCTTATCTTTTAATGAATAACCCAAAAAAACATCCATTCTTCAAACTGTAACAGTAATAAAATAGGAAGGCCAGATAATGTTAATTATAAATATTTATAAGAGTTACATTAACATGATAATAGGGCTACACAGTGGTGCAGGGGTTAGCAATACCATTTAACAGCAACAGCCGGGAAGGTGCCTCTCTGTGATTTACTGGCAACAAGTCCAGGGTGTACCCCGCCTCTTGCCCAGTGACAGCTGGGAACAACTCGAGCCCCCCAGCGACCCCAGATGGGACAAGCGTTATAGATTGTAGATGGAATAATAATTGTGATATTCAATTTTGTAGCACTTGGAATCAGAAAGATGCACATTATTAGATATACAGTTTACTTATATAACATTTTAATTGATGTGCTCCATGATATTTCCCTTATTACCATAAGACTTTAGAGTTTCTGAATACTTCCTTGATTTTTTCTTATTGCAGGCCCATATTCTATACACTGCAAAAACATGAACACCTGCAGAATCAGGCTGCAATAAATATTACTTCTTTGTAGCAGTGAGACAATCACAGGCAGATGGGGGGACTCTTGTTAGGAATAACAATATACAATTATATATATATTCTGCTTGCTGTGAAATAAATTCCCATCACATTTTTAAAGATCTTTATGAAAGAATTTCCATTTCTCTATCATGCTGCTATTATGCTATCCCAATCCCTTGTAGCACCAGCACAGTAACTATACAGGTGTCAAGTCAACAATGCCACATGAGAAAAACACAAATCTCCTTTAGTCAAGACCTTTTAGATCAATAATGATGAAAGCGTGGACAGTAAAAATAGATCACATAAATGAGAAAGGATAACAACTTCTTTTTTTTTTTAATGAAGGTGGTGGAAGAACTTCTTTGTAGCTTGTGAATTTCCCCCAGGAATCAATACAGATTAATTTAATCAAATACATATTTGATGCAGCTTTATGATTTATTTGCAGTTCAAATGTTGCAGTATTAATTGGATTTCACAGAAAACGTAGAAGCTAAAGTTGCCAAAGAAATTCAATAGAGAATGTACTACAGTATAACCTATAAATGTTACTATATACAGCAGTTGTTTGAATTGTCTTTCCTTCCACGACTGAAAAGGGAAAGGTCTCTTTTTTACCATTTGTCTGTAAACAACATTAAAAGATATGATTACAAAACAACTGAAGGATTAACTTTCAGCATGTTTGTTTGAGACTGCAGCCTCTGGCCGTGGCACCAGCTTGAGTTTGATGGGCCGTTTTGGCGCCAGCAGGCCCATTACATCAAACTCAAATGGGACCTGGAAGGAAAATAAGTGTATTCAAAGTCAACAGGGCATAAAGCTTCTTGCACTGTCACAAAGGGTATAAAAATGATGCAACAAACAGATAGCTTATCAATAGCTTGGGCATTATATAACTTTAAATATTACTATCAAACTGGCAATAAATAACAGGATGAAAAAGCATTAACAAGCAGTGTAAAGTCGAACATCTGTGGTCTTACCTCGGTCTCCTTGCACACAGAGAAGCTGTACTTCTGGAGGATCTCCACCACTGCTAGTTTCATCAGAACCAGAGCAAACCGCATCCCGATACAGTTCCTTGGCCCGGCCCCGAAAGGCATGTACGTGTATGGATCAATACGCTCCTTGTTTTCCTTACTGAACCTGTGGGTACACACATGCCAACGCAAATACATTATTAATAACCAAATTGAGAATCCCACCTGCAGGGTCTGAAGAAATTGATTTCCTCACCTCTCAGGTTTAAACTCTTCCGGTTCGGGCCAAATCGCGGGGTCCCGGTGCAGGGGCCATGTGGGTATCATAACAATCATCCCTTTTGGTATCACAAGGCCATTTATCTCCATGGATGACTTGGCAATGCGCTCCAGACGAGAAGCAATGGGGTACAATCGGAGAGACTCGTTGATGACGCTGTCTAGATATTCCATCTGCATCAGAGCCTGGTACTCCACAGGAGTCTTCAAAAAAATCACAGAGACATGCTTTTACAAGACTTCTTTGAATTCTTACTTTTGCTTATGCTTCTATTCAGGAGGAGACCTCCGTGCTGTCATGTCAGGCAAAGATAGGACCTTCAACAAGTGCTGAAGGGAAACACTGCAGGTTGTAATGAAATTACAATATCCTCCTGAATTCCTTTATTGGGTAAGATGTGAAAATCTTCACCGTCTTCAACTTTACCCCCTTTATTAAATTCAAAAATTATTAAAGAGGGACAAGCTCTTGAAGTAAATTGTGATTTACAAATTAATAATTGATCTGGCATGAATTCATCTCCCCTCAGGAGGCCATAAACCAATAAAACAGCACTAAAATATTTAGTTCTTGCCCTTACTGCTACCTCAAATGCTGTCCTCTACCAACTACCAGCGTACCTTGTTAGGGAAGGTGGAGTCGATCTCCTGCTGCAGCCGCGTCATAATGTGAGGGTTTAGGGCCAGATTGTAAGACAAGAAAGTGAGAGAGCTGCTGGTTGTTTCATAACCAGCGAAGAGGAAAATCATTGCTTGAGAAAGGATCTCATGATCACTCAAACCTATGGAGATAGTAAGGACAAATATGTATTATTATTTAGAGTTGTGCTTTCATATGTATGTATGTATGTACTACATGTCTGTGCATTGTATGCTACCTTTTTCATGCACTGCTCCACTGGGGTCATTGTCCTTCTGAGAGTCAATCATCAGCTGAAGGAAATCCACTCGAGTCTAAAAGAAGACGTTTAATAGAATAGCTCTATATTTGTATTCTTCTTGTACACACATGCACAGGAGATCTTACCTTTTGCTTTGTGGTCTCTCGGTTAGTCTTAATCTTTTGCAGCGCAGCATAAAAGAAGTCAGTTACAGATGTGGGGAAAAAGGAATACTCCAATTTTTGGAATACCGGGCCCATAAAAGGAAAGAAAGCTGGATTCAAGCAGAAAGCAAAACAGTTATAAAGTACAGAGAACAGAAGGTGACTGCACTGACAGCAAACATTCACAGAACAAATATTATTTGTTTACTCTCCACTTGAAGCACAGAATCATAAGAAGATATTTTTAATTAAAGAAAATGAATTCTATACCAATAATGAGGAAGAGTGGGCTGAAAAGGTCAAACTTCAGCATCTTCTTGATGTTAGAGACGAACGGGTCTGAGGGGTTGTTAAGCGAGTCGATGTCGACACTGAAAGCTGTGCTGGTTACTACATCCATACTGTAGGGTCCAAAGAACCTGAAGAGCACACACACGTGTCACAGATATACTTCCATTCTTAAAAAGACTTGGATTTATACATTTTCAGCAAAAACTTATTTTGGAATATAAAGTGTTAATGTGAAGTGTTCTTACTCCTTCAGCTCTAAGGGTTCATCCTTATCGGCTTTCTTTTTCATGCCACTGATCAGGTTAGCAGAGTGGTGCTTCATGATGTCAAACATCTAAAAAATGGGTAGGAACAGATAGACATAAATAACAATTGTACACAGGTATAATAAGGGTAATGAAACTGGAAAATAAGTTCCACAATAAAAAAAAACCTGTTTCCTTTAGATCAGTGATTTCCAACCAGGCTGAAAAACGAAGCCAACATAGAAGATTTTCCCAAAGACTGCAGTTCATCCAACAGCCAGGTATGCCCCATTGCCTATACCACCTAAGTGCATGTTCCACACACCTAACTGATTACTAAAATATTGTGCCAAAAACCAAAATGGCGATGGCAAAAATGCCTAACTTGAGGTTTCGATGGCAGTCCACAAACCAGTAAGTGGCTTCACAGTGGCTACTTTTTAAAACAGTCCGTTTGAAAGACTTTGAAATGATTATAGGATATATCTGAAGGGTCAGAAAAGATAGAAGGCGTGCGTAAAAAATAATATTATCTACTTGTGTTTTCAAAAGTTTTTCTTCTGTGGAGTACAACTCTGAACCCTTTTAGATTCAAAATATATAAGAGATCACCAGCCACTGCTGTTGGGGAAATATTGTTGAGTTACCTCTTTCAGTCTCCCTGAAGTGAAGGAAGGAGAGAGAATGCTGCGGATCCTCCTCCACTGCTCATCCTCAGCGACAGTCACAGCATCATACAGGGGTCCATTCAGATAGAAGTTCTGTCACAAAGTTAGGAAGAGAAAGTTGAGTCAGGAAGCAGAAACTCTAATACTAGAGTGAATGAGTTCTATGTTTAGTATACATACTCTGCGGTTGGTGAAGAGAGAGTAACACTCCTTTACTAGAACAGCTTTAATCATGGCAGGATCTGTCATACATAGTACGGGCTGACGGCCATCAAAAATGCTAAGAATGAAATATGATGACAAAGAAACAATTAAAACATGGGGGAGACTTTTGTGCAGCCATATACATTTACCTTTTTAGAATTCAAGCACAGTAAAAACAGATGTGTCTATGTGTACAAGTGGCTCTCTAGAGAAAACAAAATACATAATGTGTATAAACACACACACACATTTGATCCAGCATACAGACTTACCCCCACGTTTTCCCATACTTCTTAAAGCAGTTTTCATCGAAGGTTATGAACCCCTTGGTACAAGAAAAACAATAGACACAATTATTTTCATTTCACCATAACATGGTACAGATATTTGTAGGATGAGAAAATATTTTTTAAATGTGTGAAACAATAACAAGAGTATAAAGGTTAATCTGGAGTTGGTACATAGAACTTGTTAACATGATTTTATTTTATGTTTTTCACAAAATGATCACCATCACAGCTTCTTCTAAGCCGAAACAACTCTATTAAAATGAAACTGAAAACATTTTTCAAATCCTGATGGATCAAATTCTAAATGAAATAAACTTTCGTTAGATACTTAAATGTGAACTTTCACAAATAAAAAGTAAAAATGAGCTGAGAAACTAATTCTTCTACTTCTTCTAGTATAAATCTATAGTGTAATTTCTCATTTACCAACCTTTCTATATGCCAGCATAGTGCCAAAAAAAGGGACTGGTTTGGGACCAGGGATGCCCATTTTCTTAAAGGTGTTATATGGCCACAAAGCATACCTGTGTATAGAAAACAGATGTAGAAGATTTTTTATCACACCAATACATGAAAACAAGCACAAACACATTATACATGGACCACACACTCTTTAAAAACTTACACAAATAATAGTGTGATAAAGGCGACCAGGAGAGTCCATGTTTCAGCGGAGAAGTAGAACTGATAGCCCATCTCTGCTCCTTTTCCCTCTTCTGTCAGTGGCAGCAAAGGTTCCACTGAAGCCCCACATCACAACCAAAGGCTTTTATGTCCTGCTGCACAAACTGGTTACGTGAGGATGGTAAGTGTGTGGGAGGTTAACCAAAGGCAGCAGGCGATGTTAAGTGAATTATTGACAGAAAAAGACCAAGAAGCATATATTATTATCTTGTTTTATTAGATCAGGCCTCTGTGACTCTGTAATTTTGTCACCTAAATTATTATATTGCTGTGTTGTGAAGCACACACACAAAGTTCACTAAATAAGCAGTAGATGTTCTTAAAGATATATAACTTTTTTCTAATGGCCTTGTTTTTGTGTTTTCTATTTGAATGCTTCAGGAATCCAAGCCGTAAGCTTAAAAAAAAAAAAAGAAAGAAGGTTTAATTTCTTATTGGCTCACACTATATATATATATTTTGGTGTATGTGGGCATAATTGAAACGTATTCAAGGCTTAAAATATATATTTTTTTTATGCGAGGGGTGGTTCTCAAGTTGTTTTTTGTAGACACATTTCTTTGATATGTTTTCTTCCTCGTATATGTATATTATCAGAAGTATGGGTGGTGCACTGGCATTTTTGTTCTCCCAGGCTGCCCAGGAGCAGGGAAGAGGTCACGGTAGGTTTGTACCACGGTGGGAATAGGCTGCGCCTCCTGGACTTTGTTACAGTTCAGTGAAGTGCAAAGCAGATATCATCACAACTTGATTGAGCAAAGGAGAACCATGGACTACCTTCCCATTTTCTCCGTAGAAACATGGATCCTGCTCATCACATTTATCTGCCTATTTGTCATGTAAGGAAAAAAGATTCATTCAATCTAAGTATGTGTGCTTCGTTCTGATGAAATGGTGACAAAAAGGAAGACATTAGCACCAGAGTTTAGCCATTTTCTATCCAGTTAACAGTTTAGAGGATTTTGACTTCAAAACAAAACGTTTTTGTTCTTCACAGGTATGGCTACTCCAGTTATGGAATATTTGAGCAGTTGGGGATCCCAGTCAGCAAGCCAATTATGTATTGGGGCACAATTGGCAGGCTCAACAGTGTATGTAATTATAAAAATCTAAATCGCTCATTTCCATGGCTTTTGTCATTTGCAGTCACAGACAATGATGATTTTGTAAAAAACAAAAAAGAGTAAGTATAAGTAATTATTTTGTTTTATTATTTTTTATTTGTTTTATAATATAGGTCTATTATTTAGAGGACATCGAGAATGCAAAGATGTTTGGGAGAATATGGGGGTGAGTCTACTCAGTTTTCTATTTAACACCAAGCATGTGTTGTAAAATTGTAAGGGTTTGGCCCTTGAACCTCTCACTTTGGTGGCTCATGTCATATGACATATTGAAAACAGGTTGTTGAAAAACAAACAAAAACATTATGTATTTGGATAACATAAAGTTATCCAATCTAAGCTTTTCAGATAAAACCTGCAGTTTGTGTTGTTTAAAACTTCCGAATAGCACTGTTAGAACTTTGATACAAAAAATAAATTCAGGATTATCCTGATCAAAGCAGAGGTATGTATGCAGACTAGATAATAGGGTAAAAATGTAAAAACAAGAACAAAAACATTGAAAAGATCAAACAATACAACATTTTTACAACTAAGTTGATATTTCAAGACTTAAATGTTTTAAATGTATTTGTACTAGAATGTTGTTTTGCTTCGGTGAAGTAGAATAATTTGCTATTTGGGTACCTATTCTTGTGTGGATTTTGGGGTCCCCTGTAAACAAAGCATATAGTATCCCTTTAAAGCACCATTAATCTGGGTTTGGTAAACCTTAAAAGTCTGTACATGGATCAGGTTGACCTATAGAGTGAGCTTGCGCCCAGGATGAACTGAATAGCTAATGGAAATTATTGTATAACATATGTAAGAGATCCACAACAAATGGCTAAAATGTATGTGTGTGTTTGTGTAAATGTCCAGTGTATATGAGTTAAAGAAGCCCATGCTGGCTGTGATGGACCCTGACATGTTGAAAACCATCCTGGTGAAGGAGTGCTTCACCTACTTTACCAACAGACGGGTGAGGACATGATTAACATGCAAAATAAAACAAAAAGACTGTATTACAAGAGAAACTCTTACATCACACAATTAAAAGTCAACTTTAGACGGGGAATTGGTTTAAACCTTGTGAATAAAGGGGGTATGGCTTATTAAACTATCATATGGTCATATTTGGGACAACAAATCTAGACAAAAACAACCAAAACAAATTTCCTGAGGCTATATAAGAACAATAGTATGTATGAAGATTAGTTGACATTAAATCAAATGTTTAGTTTATTAGTTTATTTTAATCAGGGACCATGTACAAAAAAAACATTAGTCTCAGAAGAGAAGAAATGCTTTGTACCAGATTTAGCTAACTAGCTCATTTCCATCTGTTGTCCCTAGGCAGATGATGGCAACATTAAAATACAAATCAACCAGTGTCACACACACACACACACACACACACACACACACACACACACACACACACACATTTCATAAGATAGAAGAAAGACATAGAACAATACAGAAACATTAAATACAAGTTTCCCTGAGATATAAAAGGTTGTCGAGATTTTTGTGACTGCACTGATAACACGGTGAGCTACACAAGCTTGGGGGCATGTGAGGCCGTAATGCTAAAAATACATCCCAAACACTTTCCCCAAAGGTACAAGAGGTCATCTATGATGTTAAGATAAGCACATTTACAAATGGTACCACTAGCACAATGAGCTATCAGATTATGGAGGCAAACTTTCTGGATTTAATTTACGGGTAAACCATCCAGAAAAGTGACATCGCATTTTCAAGAATAACTGTAAACATTGTCAACTAATAAAAATAATTTGGCACTACTTCATTTCCATGTAATTTGAATGTAGGCGATCCATTATGATTAAATTAATTTTTCACTTCAGGGACAAGATTGTTGTTTCTCTTTCTTTTTCTTAGGGTGAAATAAAATAATGGAGGTAATATCCCCAATGATTTGGAATCTGTCATTTTGAATTTTTAAATTCAGCCTATGGCTATCTCTCGTTTATTTTGGATCGAGAAGAAACCATATGTGATGAGAAGAGGAAACTGAAGAGGAGTTGAAGGGCAAGGGCTAATCAGGCAAATGTTCTAAAGGCTGTATAAACTTTGACTGATGTTGTTTACTTTTTTAAATCTAGAAGTTAAGAGACCTCATAGATTATAGTGAACTGGCTGCTCACTCGCTCTCATCTCCACTGAGAGAGCAAACAACATGTTCATGAAAAGAAAAACAGGAAACTTACAAAGCTCCAAGGAAAAGCAACAATCCTGATTCCCAGTCAAAAGGGCTCATGATCTAACAGTTTACGACAGACACTCAAATAGTTAACAATCCAGACATGATAAATCAGTGCTATGTTTTAGCATATCATATTTTAACACTGTGAAAAATGATGAACCACACACTTAGTGGAAAGCCTGTCAGTACAATAAACCACAGTCAGCCATATTTAATATTTAATATCGATTAAGATAATTCCAATGACTGCATTAGCTGAGGTTATTGTTAGCAGGCAGCTAGCTGCACCCACCTGTTACTCACAGTCATCACGCCCCTAAATACAATCATTTTCAATTTATGAGTTCAATAAATATTTAGCTCCAGAGTTCAATAACTATTTAGTTCCTCAGTTTGTCATGAACTACTCACCATGAGTGTTTTTCTTACCAGGCTTTTGACAGCCAAAAATTCTGCTGTTAAATTAGACGTTCTGACACAGGGCTTCATAGGGATTGACTCACTCCAAATAATAATTTTTTATTAATTTTAAAAAATATATTTATATTTAAACTCATAATTGTTTTAGTGGAACAGAATCCTTCACGATTTAGCTGGGAACAAAATGTGATTTACTGTGACTGTTTTTGAAAGTGCTACAGGCTAGAGTTGCCAAATCTCCATCAGGGGATACTAGTTATAACGAGTGTTCAAAACATTTGTTAATGAACATATACACTCTGATGACTGCATGTGCCTCTTTAGAACTTCCGTCTTAATGGGGAACTCTATGACGCGGTGAGTATTGCTGAGGATGATGAATGGAGGCGACTACGCAACATCCTCTCTCCCTATTTCACCTCTGGGCGACAAAAGGAGGTATCAGTTTTCCGTTTTCCTAATTTCTTCAGACTAGTTATAATTGTATTTTTACTCATCATGTTTTTGTGTTTATTTTACACTTTTTTCTAAGCTCTTTGACATCATGAAACATCACTCAAGCAAACTGACAGCCAGCCTGCAGTCCAAGGCCCAAAATGGAGAAGTTATTACTATAAAAGAGTAAGTAACGCCATGCTTTAGAGATTCTAAATGTTTCATTAATATAAGCTTGTTTTTATTGTTTTTCTGCCCATCTATTTTAACAACATAACATTAACCAAGATGGCCACACGAAAAAACAATCATGTTTATAACCTCCTGTATGTAAATAATAAATGTAAGGATAAGAGTTGTTGGTAGGCAGCTTGTGTTTTTGAATGGAGCGGAGCTAGCAGATGACCTTTGTTTCCAGTATTTGGGCTAAGCCAAGCTAGCAGACTCTTTGAAGTCACCTCATATTCAACGCACACACATGAAAGTGTTTTTATTTTTTCTGACAAGACAGAAAATACAACTATTTGCCAAAATGGGGAACTCAGACATGAGCATTAACTGCATTTGGACTCGGAAGCTGGAGAGGATGACTTGGAATTAAACAATGTCATTGTTGCATCTAGGTACAGTATGAACTTAAGGACTCACAGATAGTGTGGAGTTAAAGCTTAGTTTAGAAGCATTTAACATAACTAAATCAATAAAGTCATGTGTTAAAGTGGAGAACTAAACTAATCTTGGAAAAGCTCACACTCAACCTCATTAAGGACTTAGACCAGGTAACTCGACTCAGATTCTCCTTTGCTGAATCAGACTCGACTCAGACTCGGGACTTGGTTGGTTTACATGTGGTTTGGTGACTTGACTACAACACTGCCTTCCAGTGTATTGTTACCAACTTGTACTTTTAACCTCCCTTATTTAAGTTTTTTGTTACTTGTGGACCCTCATTAAAAAGTGTGTGGCACCTAATTGCCCTTGAATGGCGTGAAACACAATTCAAAACATTAAATCTGTCCCTAGAGGTTAACTTCACTGAAAATTGAGTCCAAAGAACAAACAGTGTATACAGGTTTTGTGAGATCTGCTATTCCATCCAACTGATCTTCCATTTTTAACCTTTTTTGAAGAGCTGACTCGAGGATAAATGCACAAAAATTCGAATGTACCTGTACAGTCCTGTACCTCTGCAAATGGCAATACACTAACTAATATCTAATCTAATCTCAAACGTAAATACTAAAGCTACTCAACCGCTCTAGTCTCATGTTCATATACAGTTAAGTCATTGCTGTTAATGTTTCCCTGATGGGTACAATATTACCAATTTTATTTTTTGATTACTATTTATACTGTAAACCTAAACATATGCTCTTGATAACTTCACAATGGAGCTTGTTTGCAGTGTCTCTAAAACAGTATTGTGGATCAAACATGATGAAGTACTTACTTCAGTACTTGTGTCAACTTCTGATCAACGATTCATACGTTTTTTTGTTTTCCAGCTTCTTTGGATCCTACAGTTTGGACATAATGGCGAGCTCTTTATTGAGTGTGGATTTGGACACAATTAACAACACCTCAAGTCCACTCATCACATATGCCAATAAGCTGTTCAGATTTCCCATACTTCTCTTTCTTTTCCAAGGTAAAGTTGTATCCATGACACCTTTTGTCTTATTTTGAATGAATATTTAAGTTTTCCGTCTACATTTAGAGATGCTAACCACATGTCTATTTTCAGGGTGCTTTCCATTTGCTCTTCCGCTATTGGAGCTAATGGGTTTCTCATTGTTCCCCAAGAGTTCTACTAATTACTTTAAAAGGTTTGTGGAGAAGATCAGGCAGCAACGCAATGGAAACTCACAAAAGGTTTGTACAAAACACACCCTGAGATGGTCTATATATGGATAGAATGTTGCATCATTTTATAGTTATAGTGGGAAACACATCTCATGATAGTTAGGGTTTACCAGGTTCCATAAATTCAATAAAGAAACCATTATCTGATAGTTGCTTAACAATCTCAGCTGAAGATTACTTTCATAGAGTTTCCCATTAAATCATGTTATTTAAAATGGGGTCTGCCCAGTTGTCATGAAAACTGAGATGTTCATATCTTTTAGATTCCCCAAGATATTTTAGGTCTTCTTTGTGGCTTCTGTAGCTTTCCAGGATCTTTCCATCATAGATTAGGCTCTTGTAACTAAACACTGGGAAACACTGGAAAGTAAATCTACCTTTTTTGCAAACTGCTGTTTCAATCTGACAAAAAAAGGACTTCACTGAATTTCAAGTCCATCATAAAAAATTTGATGTTGACTAAATGACTTGTTTTCAGAATTCAAGAGATATGCTTCAAAATATGATTGACAGCCAGACCGACAATAAATCCAAGAAAGAAGGGGAGAATAAAAGTAAGACGACGTCACACAAATTCATGCTTGTGAATTCACACCAGAGGTCTGCCTCCTTTCATCTTACTCCCCGTTGGTGCATCCTGTCTGCCCTTACAGAGCTGACTGATCATGAGATCATTTCTCAAGTGACCATGTTTGTGTTCGCTGGTTACGAGACAAGCGCCACAACTCTCACTTTCCTTGCCTACACTTTGGCCCAAAACCCTGCAGTCATGAAACGCCTACAGGAGGAGATAGATGTCACCTTTCCTGATATGGTTGTTTATTCTATTTTTATATTTTTATTAAAGAATCTAGTTACAGTTGTTTCTGCATTGTGTTTAATCAAACTGTTATCTTTAACCCCTTTACAGGGTCCAGTCCAGTATGAAGCCCTGATGCAGATGGAGTACTTGGACAGCGTGGTCAATGAGTGTTTGAGGTTAAAGAGTATTTTCTTGTGCAAGTTGGCAAGGCCAACCCTAGATATTTTGTTCAATTTTGTTTTGTAGTCATCAAATTGTTGAAATGAAAATGTTCTGTTCTCCATGTAAGCCATGTTTGCTTAGTTTGTAGGATGATATTAGAAAATTGTGATGGTTTATTTCAAATAACTATAATGACACTGTTTTTGTTGTTAATGCAAGAATAGGTAGGTTTAGATTGAATGTTTGTTCCAATAAAAACCAACATTATTTAAATATATTCCTTCTTTGTCATAAGGCTCTACCCTCCAGCTGCACGTCTGGAACGAGTGGCTAAAGAAAAAGTAAAGATCAACGGGATCACAATCCCAAAAGACATGCTTGTGATGGTTCCAGTCTACGCTCTGCACCACGACCCCGAGCTTTGGCCAGAGCCCAAAGAGTTCAGACCTGACAGGTAGAGAGTTTATGTGTACTGTTAACTTTTCTTAGTGACTAACTATTAATCCTTCTCTGAAGCAACTTTTAATTCCAAGTATCAGTGAGCTACAAAATATTGAAGAAATTGTTGTTCAAACTTTGAACATTTTTACAGACAGGTGAAACCAATTAAAAGCCAATGCTTCCTATAGTATTAATTCTTTATGAATTTAATTTGTGTTTCTTTAAGATTTAGTAAGGAGAACAAGCAGAACATTAGGCCATACACTTACTTGCCGTTTGGGGCTGGGCCGAGGAACTGTATTGGAATGCGATTTGCTCTGCTGATGGTTAAACTGGCCTTGGTGGAAGTGTTGCAAAACTACAGCTTCTCAGTCTGTGATGAGACAGAGGTAATTTCATTATTATTTAAGCATTCTTTGGTTAACATGGTCAACATGATTTCTTTTGCATAATAAACGATATAATTATTTTAAGAGAGAGCATCTGATTCAGTCAGTATGATGCTTTTCCTAGATCCCTTTGAAGATGGACCCTGAAGGCCTCGTTGGACCATTGAAACCAATCAAACTGAAGGTGGTGACACGATCAAACCAGTGCAACTAGAGATTGGTCCGGGTCAAACAGCTCTTGTGGTTGAACAATCATATAAATGAGTAACTTAAGTTACTAAAAATGCTTATTTAGTTTACGACTGACATTTTTCATCTGTACTTTCAGTTTATATTTTGATAACCAATCAAGCTTCAAACCCAGTACTCTGGTTGGATAAGAGGTATTCCATGATTGCTAACATAGAGTATAACAGCACTGGGAATGATATCGTTGTGTATCTCTGCCTCAGTCGGGTGTTTAAAATTGTGTTAATTAACATTATGATGGTGTTTGTCTTGACTGATCACGCTGGAACCTCTGAATCATGGAGGCAACTTAAGCAACTGCCAACAGACTCTTATTTCACTGCCTACATGATCAAATGAAACATACAGGTGAATGCAAACTAAACAAAGTAGGTGGCCTGCTGAATTGGTGACATACACAAAGTTACAAAAGTGCAGGAGAAGGTTTTGGTTGCTCAGCGACTGTTCAACTCTAAGCGAGAAAAATAACTTGTTATAATTTGTTGTTTCTTGTTTTGTTTCCTAACACAAAGTTCAGAATTTAAATACACTAATCTAAAGTAAATTATCCAGCACATTAAGTGTTGATTAAAAATAAAGAACACCATTGTGACCAGTGGCAGATGTGTCAGGGACACAACACTGTTAACATTCTTCTGTTAAATATAGTTCACTGCGCTTACCTAATAAATGGAGAATATGACAAATGTTTCTGTTCATCTCAGAAGACTCATTGTGCTTTATGTGGAATTATTCTTTGTGAAGCCTGTTCTTTTACATTTTGATTAAAGGGTATTCATCTGTCCAGTATCAGAAGTCTCACTCACAATTTTCCTGTAATGAAAAGTTCACCTGCAAAAATGAGCAAAACACTCAAATGATTTCCTTGTCAATAAGTTCCTCTAAATGTGTCACTGTTTTAACCTAGATTTGTTGCTAGCTTTAAAACAGCTAAGACACTTGGTGCAGTGTCATTAAAATACCATCCATAAAAGCTGTGATGGTGGTCACCTGTGCTCTGCAGCCTGCACTTTAGAAAGTCCAATCCACATGTTGTGTAATCGGTGGTTAAAGGTCTATGACTTTTTGTGAGTGGACTTAAAACATATCGAACAATTTCTAGCCCTGACACATGTCCGAACAATAAATTATAACATAAACTGATGTGAGCGTTTCACCTGCCTAAATACACAGAAGTGAAAGCATGAGTTACATGTGGATAAAGCAGACCACAGTGAAACTTCACATATGACTCATCTGTCACATGTGAAGGTGTGCTAAATTTGGTAAGAAGGTATCTGGAGCTGTCACAAAGGGAAAGGTTACGGTTGGTTTGTCTTGTTGCGCAACGTTAAGCTCAGTCAAGAACCGGGACCAACTTTGACATTAATACTGCAACAACAACACATCAATCAAACGTTTTTTGTTTTTTTTAACCTTCTGTTAGGTTAACAAAACGAGGCGCTATTGTCTTAATATTCATATTTGATTATCACATAAAACCGAAAGTCTTTAACTTTATCAATGTTTCCTCTTTTCCTTGAACGAGTCAAAACCAGTTTTCACAGTGACGTTAGTTCATCAGATAAAGCTTAATAGCCTGCTAGAAATGTAAATAAAAACACTGTCATACCATCTTAAGAGGGTAAAGAAACACACCATATCAAGCCATTCAGCCAACACAATCATTGGTCATTGCACAACCTGTAGCAGTAAAACATCATCTCCATAAATGGACAGTGTCAGCTTTGAGGTAGAGAGAATGTATTTATTATTACACTCTGTGGGATACAGCTCCCAGCTGCTTTACAAAAACCTTTACAGTTGTAAATAAGAAAAAAAAATGTACAAAACATCTTCATACTAAATTGTTTATATTATTAGATACTTTGAGGTGAGTTTTGGTGACACAGGAGCATAAAAATCACTGTAAGGAGGAATTAAAGATAAAAAGAGGCACGAAAGTCCCGCTCCCAGTTCTTGTCGTTTTGCTCCTTTCTCCTACTATGTTCCTTCCTTTGTCCTTTCCCTCTTTTCTCCTGCTTCTGCTTGGAAGATTGTTTCACTGCGTCGGGATCCCTGGCTTGAAAGTGAGTAATTTTGGCTCTTTTTGCCTCTCCATACCCAAGGCCTGTCTGATCTCTTTTCAGCACTGTTGGCACTGGTTGTTTGGGCCCCTCTCCTTCTGGTCCCAGCCCCGTTCCTGGTTTCCAACCGCACTGGACCATCATCTTGTAGCTGTTGCTGGAGGGGGGGAGGCAGTAGTAAGGGGTGGGAGAAGGGCGTCGCAGACTGAACTGATGGAGAGTGGATGAAAGATGCGATGACAGGCTGTTGCTGTACTCGCTACAACACACGCTGCACCACTGAGGCGGGGGGGCACTGGGAACAAACAGAGGAAGAGACATTATTAGTGAGAGGAAAATGCTAAAGGAACTGTTTATAGAGTATTTAAGTCTTTTCAAAAAGACCAGCGTGTAGGATGGGCATATTATCTATCGACAAAACTAATATTAAATCTACCATCCTGTTTTCCTTACTGTAATATCACCTGAAAATAATTTTGAGCTACCTTAGAGAGAGCTCTAAATCTACAGAGTGGGCAGGTTTCCTACAAGGAGTCCATCATTTTGCGGTGCAAGATTTTTTCAAAGCCTAAAATGGACAAAGCAAATCTTTTGGTGTTTTTTCTTTTTTCCTTCCAATTTTTTGTGACCCAGTTCTTTGGTTCTCCTATATGTTCAGAGGGGCGAGGTGATAGTCAGCTGAAAACTGTTAAACCAAGATCTAACTTGCATCATTACATCCACCATTATATCAGATTTGTAACCAACCAAATATATAACCTAATTGCGATGAACTTGTGACACCAAATGCCACATTTGTATAGATATTTTGTGAAATAAGACTTTTCCCAATGTACTGTACTCACTGGGGTTTAGAGATGTATGCAACTTATAGTGAGCTAACCTGCTGTCAGGCTGTTCTTCGCTCTGAGGGCTTCTCCCGCAGCTCTCCAGCTCCTCCAACACCTCACTGTGGCCAGCTGGGGGGGAAAATCAATATGAATGAGAACATCGTCACTGCACACAACACAGAATTTAGTGTTGCTTACAGGATTTGTCATGGCTGTACCTTCAAGGGCCAGGTCTTTGGCATCCCTGCCCTGTGTGTCAACCACTCCGACCCAGGCGGCTCCGTGTTGCAGCAGCAGCTTCACTGCAGCTCTCTGTCCTGACCAGCTGGCACACATCACTGCTGTCCAAAGTAAGTATCCTAAAGGGAAGACCGTTAAGATTAAATCAATACAAATAATATATTTCCTCCTTCTTCAACCTGATCAGTAAGTGCTGTACCTGAAAGTTGATGTCTACCCCCTTTAGGAGCAGATCTCTGAGGCTTGAAATGTCCCCTTCATGGGCACAGCGCAGTAACCTGAGTCCAAGGAGCTCCATGGACCTCTCCGAGTTGTTTGTCTCTCTGCTTTGGTTTCCCTCACTTTCACCATCATTCCCTTGTTGGAGCACAGACTCAGTTTGACGCTGCGGCATCTCCGCAGCCCTGTCTCTCCTCCTCTCTCTTCTTCTGGAGCCTCTCTTCCTCTGGTGCTCTCTGCCATTCACATTGCTTCTTGAAGCCCTTGATGCATCTTGATCGGTATCCTCTTTTATAAGATGTTCGTAAAACTGCCTCACCTGTTCCCCACTGAAGGCGCTCCCTGTTTTTGAGTTGGTAGGTTCAGCAGATTCAATGCTGAAAATATCCTGCCCGCTAGCACGCGTAAAGCCAAGAGCAGCCATAGGAAGAGTCTGAGCTGGAGCTTTTTTTTTGGAGGATTTAAAAAGCTATTTGATGCAAATGAACCAGCTAACGTGGTCAGTGGTTCGAGCCGTCGATACAGTATGAACTTAAGGACTCACAGATAGTGTGGAGTTAAAGCTTAGTTTAGAAGCATTTAACATAACTAAATCAATAAAGTCATGTGTTAAAGTGGAGAACTAAACTAATCTTGGAAAAGCTCACACTCAACCTCATTAAGGACTTAGACCAGGTAACTCGACTCAGATTCTCCTTTGCTGAATCAGACTCGACTCAGACTCGGGACTCAACCCAAAATGGAGGTTTGGTGACTTGACTACAACACTGCCTTCCAGTGTATTGTTACCAACTTGTACTTTTAACCTCCCTTATTTAAGTTTTTTGTTACTTGTGGACCCTCATTAAAAAGTGTGTGGCACCTAATTGCCCTTGAGTGGCGTGAAACACAATTCAAAACATTAAATCTGTCCCTAGAGGTTAACTTCACTGAAAATTGAGTCCAAAGAACAAACAGTGTATACAGGTTTTGAGAGATCTGCTATTCCATCCAACTGATCTTCCATTTTTAACCTTTTTTGAAGAGCTGACTCGAGGATAAATGCACAAAAATTCGAATGTACCTGTACAGTCCTGTACCTCTGCAAATGGCAATACACTAACTAATATCTAATCTAATCTCAAACGTAAATACTAAAGCTACTCAACCGCTCTAGTCTCATGTTCATATACAGTTAAGTCATTGCTGTTAATGTTTCCCTGATGGGTACAATATTACCAATTTTATTTTTTGATTACTATTTATACTGTAAACCTAAACATATGCTCTTGATAACTTCACAATGGAGCTTGTTTGCAGTGTCTCTAAAACAGTATTGTGGATCAAACATGATGAAGTACTTACTTCAGTACTTGTGTCAACTTCTGATCAACGATTCATACGTTTTTTTGTTTTCCAGCTTCTTTGGATCCTACAGTTTGGACATAATGGCGAGCTCTTTATTGAGTGTGGATTTGGACACAATTAACAACCCCTCAAGTCCACTCATCACATATGCCAATAAGCTGTTCAGATTTCCCATACTTCTCTTTCTTTTCCAAGGTAAAGTTGTATCCATGACACCTTTTGTCTTATTTTGAATGAATATTTAAGTTTTCCGTCTACATTTAGAGATGCTAACCACATGTCTATTTTCAGGGTGCTTTCCATTTGCTCTTCCGCTATTGGAGCTAATGGGTTTCTCATTGTTCCCCAAGAGTTCTACTAATTACTTTAAAAGGTTTGTGGAGAAGATCAGGCAGCAACGCAATGGAAACTCACAAAAGGTTTGTACAAAACACACCCTGAGATGGTCTATATATGGATAGAATGTTGCATCATTTTATAGTTATAGTGGGAAACACATCTCATGATAGTTAGGGTTTACCAGGTTCCATAAATTCAATAAAGAAACCATTATCTGATAGTTGCTTAACAATCTCAGCTGAAGATTACTTTCATAGAGTTTCCCATTAAATCATGTTATTTAAAATGGGGTCTGCCCAGTTGTCATGAAAACTGAGATGTTCATATCTTTTAGATTCCCCAAGATATTTTAGGTCTTCTTTGTGGCTTCTGTAGCTTTCCAGGATCTTTCCATCATAGATTAGGCTCTTGTAACTAAACACTGGGAAACACTGGAAAGTAAATCTACCTTTTTTGCAAACTGCTGTTTCAATCTGACAAAAAAAGGACTTCACTGAATTTCAAGTCCATCATAAAAAATTTGATGTTGACTAAATGACTTGTTTTCAGAATTCAAGAGATATGCTTCAAAATATGATTGACAGCCAGACCGACAATAAATCCAAGAAAGAAGGGGAGAATAAAAGTAAGACGACGTCACACAAATTCATGCTTGTGAATTCACACCAGAGGTCTGCCTCCTTTCATCTTACTCCCCGTTGGTGCATCCTGTCTGCCCTTACAGAGCTGACTGATCATGAGATCATTTCTCAAGTGACCATGTTTGTGTTCGCTGGTTACGAGACAAGCGCCACAACTCTCACTTTCCTTGCCTACACTTTGGCCCAAAACCCTGCAGTCATGAAACGCCTACAGGAGGAGATAGATGTCACCTTTCCTGATATGGTTGTTTATTCTATTTTTATATTTTTATTAAAGAATCTAGTTACAGTTGTTTCTGCATTGTGTTTAATCAAACTGTTATCTTTAACCCCTTTACAGGGTCCAGTCCAGTATGAAGCCCTGATGCAGATGGAGTACTTGGACAGCGTGGTCAATGAGTGTTTGAGGTTAAAGAGTATTTTCTTGTGCAAGTTGGCAAGGCCAACCCTAGATATTTTGTTCAATTTTGTTTTGTAGTCATCAAATTGTTGAAATGAAAATGTTCTGTTCTCCATGTAAGCCATGTTTGCTTAGTTTGTAGGATGATATTAGAAAATTGTGATGGTTTATTTCAAATAACTATAATGACACTGTTTTTGTTGTTAATGCAAGAATAGGTAGGTTTAGATTGAATGTTTGTTCCAATAAAAACCAACATTATTTAAATATATTCCTTCTTTGTCATAAGGCTCTACCCTCCAGCTGCACGTCTGGAACGAGTGGCTAAAGAAAAAGTAAAGATCAACGGGATCACAATCCCAAAAGACATGCTTGTGATGGTTCCAGTCTACGCTCTGCACCACGACCCCGAGCTTTGGCAGAGCCCAAAGAGTTCAGACCTGACAGGTAGAGAGTTTATGTGTACTGTTAACTTTTCTTAGTGACTAACTATTAATCCTTCTCTGAAGCAACTTTTAATTCCAAGTATCAGTGAGCTACAAAATATTGAAGAAATTGTTGTTCAAACTTTGAACATTTTTACAGACAGGTGAAACCAATTAAAAGCCAATGCTTCCTATAGTATTAATTCTTTATGAATTTAATTTGTGTTTCTTTAAGATTTAGTAAGGAGAACAAGCAGAACATTAGGCCATACACTTACTTGCCGTTTGGGGCTGGGCCGAGGAACTGTATTGGAATGCGATTTGCTCTGCTGATGGTTAAACTGGCCTTGGTGGAAGTGTTGCAAAACTACAGCTTCTCAGTCTGTGATGAGACAGAGGTAATTTCATTATTATTTAAGCATTCTTTGGTTAACATGGTCAACATGATTTCTTTTGCATAATAAACGATATAATTATTTTAAGAGAGAGCATCTGATTCAGTCAGTATGATGCTTTTCCTAGATCCCTTTGAAGATGGACCCTGAAGGCCTCGTTGGACCATTGAAACCAATCAAACTGAAGGTGGTGACACGATCAAACCAGTGCAACTAGAGATTGGTCCGGGTCAAACAGCTCTTGTGGTTGAACAATCATATAAATGAGTAACTTAAGTAACTAAAAATGCTTCTTTAGTTTACGACTGACATTTTTCATCTGTACTTTCAGTTTATATTTTGATAACCAATCAAGCTTCAAACCCAGTACTCTGGTTGGATAAGAGGTATTCCATGATTGCTAACATAGAGTATAACAGCACTGGGAATGATATCGTTGTGTATCTCTGCCTCAGTCGGGTGTTTAAAATTGTGTTAATTAACATTATGATGGTGTTTGTCTTGACTGATCACGCTGGAACCTCTGAATCATGGAGGCAACTTAAGCAACTGCCAACAGACTCTTATTTCACTGCCTACATGATCAAATGAAACATACAGGTGAATGCAAACTAAACAAAGTAGGTGGCCTGCTGAATTGGTGACATACACAAAGTTACAAAAGTGCAGGAGAAGGTTTTGGTTGCTCAGCGACTGTTCAACTCTAAGCAAGAAAAATAACTTGTTATAATTTGTTGTTTCTTGTTTTGTTTCCTAACACAAAGTTCTGAATTTAAATACACTAATCTAAAGTAAATTATCCAGCACATTAAGTGTTGATTAAAAATAAAGAACACCATTGTGACCAGTGGCAGATGTGTCAGGGACACAACACTGTTAACATTCTTCTGTTAAATATAGTTCACTGCGCTTACCTAATAAATGGAGAATATGACAAATGTTTCTGTTCATCTCAGAAGACTCATTGTGCTTTATGTGGAATTATTCTTTGTGAAGCCTGTTCTTTTACATTTTGATTAAAGGGTATTCATCTGTCCAGTATCAGAAGTCTCACTCACAATTTTCCTGTAATGAAAAGTTCACCTGCAAAAATGAGCAAAACACTCAAATGATTTCCTTGTCAATAAGTTCCTCTAAATGTGTCACTGTTTTAACCTAGATTTGTTGCTAGCTTTAAAACAGCTAAGACACTTGGTGCAGTGTCATTAAAATACCATCCATAAAAGCTGTGATGGTGGTCACCTGTGCTCTGCAGCCTGCACTTTAGAAAGTCCAATCCACATGTTGTGTAATCGGTGGTTAAAGGTCTATGACTTTTTGTGAGTGGACTTAAAACATATCGAACAATTTCTAGCCCTGACACATGTCCGAACAATAAATTATAACATAAACTGATGTGAGCGTTTCACCTGCCTAAATACACAGAAGTGAAAGCATGAGTTACATGTGGATAAAGCAGACCACAGTGAAACTTCACATATGACTCATCTGTCACATGTGAAGGTGTGCTAAATTTGGTAAGAAGGTATCTGGAGCTGTCACAAAGGGAAAGGTTACGGTTGGTTTGTCTTGTTGCGCAACGTTAAGCTCAGTCAAGAACCGGGACCAACTTTGACATTAATACTGCAACAACAACACATCAATCAAACGTTTTTTGGTTTTTTTTAACCTTCTGTTAGGTTAACAAAACGAGGCGCTATTGTCTTAATATTCATATTTGATTATCACATAAAACCGAAAGTCTTTAACTTTATCAATGTTTCCTCTTTTCCTTGAACGAGTCAAAACCAGTTTTCACAGTGACGTTAGTTCATCAGATAAAGCTTAATAGCCTGCTAGAAATGTAAATAAAAACACTGTCATACCATCTTAAGAGGGTAAAGAAACACACCATATCAAGCCATTCAGCCAACACAATCATTGGTCATTGCACAACCTGTAGCAGTAAAACATCATCTCCATAAATGGACAGTGTCAGCTTTGAGGGTAGAGAGAATGTATTTATTATTACACTCTGTGGGATACAGCTCCCAGCTGCTTTACAAAAACCTTTACAGTTGTAAATAAGAAAAAAAAATGTACAAAACATCTTCATACTAAATTGTTTATATTATTAGATACTTTGAGGTGAGTTTTGGTGACACAGGAGCATAAAAATCACTGTAAGGAGGAATTAAAGATAAAAAGAGGCACGAAAGTCCCGCTCCCAGTTCTTGTCGTTTTGCTCCTTTCTCCTACTATGTTCCTTCCTTTGTCCTTTCCCTCTTTTCTCCTGCTTCTGCTTGGAAGATTGTTTCACTGCGTCGGGATCCCTGGCTTGAAAGTGAGTAATTTTGGCTCTTTTTGCCTCTCCATACCCAAGGCCTGTCTGATCTCTTTTCAGCACTGTTGGCACTGGTTGTTTGGGCCCCTCTCCTTCTGGTCCCAGCCCCGTTCCTGGTTTCCAACCGCACTGGACCATCATCTTGTAGCTGTTGCTGGAGGGGGGGAGGCAGTAGTAAGGGGTGGGAGAAGGGCGTCGCAGACTGAACTGATGGAGAGTGGATGAAAGATGCGATGACAGGCTGTTGCTGTACTCGCTACAACACACGCTGCACCACTGAGGCGGGGGGCACTGGGAACAAACAGAGGAAGAGACATTATTAGTGAGAGGAAAATGCTAAAGGAACTGTTTATAGAGTATTTAAGTCTTTTCAAAAAGACCAGCGTGTAGGATGGGCATATTATCTATCGACAAAACTAATATTAAATCTACCATCCTGTTTTCCTTACTGTAATATCACCTGAAAATAATTTTGAGCTACCTTAGAGAGAGCTCTAAATCTACAGAGTGGGCAGGTTTCCTACAAGGAGTCCATCATTTTGCGGTGCAAGATTTTTTCAAAGCCTAAAATGGACAAAGCAAATCTTTTGGTGTTTTTTCTTTTTTCCTTCCAATTTTTTGTGACCCAGTTCTTTGGTTCTCCTATATGTTCAGAGGGGCGAGGTGATAGTCAGCTGAAAACTGTTAAACCAAGATCTAACTTGCATCATTACATCCACCATTATATCAGATTTGTAACCAACCAAATATATAACCTAATTGCGATGAACTTGTGACACCAAATGCCACATTTGTATAGATATTTTGTGAAATAAGACTTTTCCCAATGTACTGTACTCACTGGGGTTTAGAGATGTATGCAACTTATAGTGAGCTAACCTGCTGTCAGGCTGTTCTTCGCTCTGAGGGCTTCTACCGCAGCTCTCCAGCTCCTCCAACACCTCACTGTGGCCAGCTGGGGGGGAAAATCAATATGAATGAGAACATCGTCACTGCACACAACACAGAATTTAGTGTTGCTTACAGGATTTGTCATGGCTGTACCTTCAAGGGCCAGGTCTTTGGCATCCCTGCCCTGTGTGTCAACCACTCCGACCCAGGCGGCTCCGTGTTGCAGCAGCAGCTTCACTGCAGCTCTCTGTCCTGACCAGCTGGCACACATCACTGCTGTCCAAAAGTAAGTATCCTAAAGGGAAGACCGTTAAGATTAAATCAATACAAATAATATATTTCCTCCCTTCTTCAACCTGATCAGTAAGTGCTGTACCTGAAAGTTGATGTCTACCCCCTTTAGGAGCAGATCTCTGAGGCTTGAAATGTCCCCTTCATGGGCACAGCGCAGTAACCTGAGTCCAAGGAGCTCCATGGACCTCTCCGAGTTGTTTGTCTCTCTGCTTTGGTTTCCCTCACTTTCACCATCATTCCCTTGTTGGAGCACAGACTCAGTTTGACGCTGCGGCATCTCCGCAGCCCTGTCTCTCCTCCTCTCTCTTCTTCTGGAGCCTCTCTTCCTCTGGTGCTCTCTGCCATTCACATTGCTTCTTGAAGCCCTTGATGCATCTTGATCGGTATCCTCTTTTATAAGATGTTCGTAAAACTGCCTCACCTGTTCCCCACTGAAGGCGCTCCCTGTTTTTGAGTTGGTAGGTTCAGCAGATTCAATGCTGAAAATATCCTGCCCGCTAGCACGCGTAAAGCCAAGAGCAGCCATAGGAAGAGTCTGAGCTGGAGCTTTTTTTTTGGAGGATTTAAAAAGCTATTTGATGCAAATGAACCAGCTAACGTGGTCAGTGGTTCGAGCCGTCGATACAGTATGAACTTAAGGACTCACAGATAGTGTGGAGTTAAAGCTTAGTTTAGAAGCATTTAACATAACTAAATCAATAAAGTCATGTGTTAAAGTGGAGAACTAAACTAATCTTGGAAAAGCTCACACTCAACCTCATTAAGGACTTAGACCAGGTAACTCGACTCAGATTCTCCTTTGCTGAATCAGACTCGACTCAGACTCGGGACTCAACCCAAAATGGAGGTTTGGTGACTTGACTACAACACTGCCTTCCAGTGTATTGTTACCAACTTGTACTTTTAACCTCCCTTATTTAAGTTTTTTGTTACTTGTGGACCCTCATTAAAAAGTGTGTGGCACCTAATTGCCCTTGAGTGGCGTGAAACACAATTCAAAACATTAAATCTGTCCCTAGAGGTTAACTTCACTGAAAATTGAGTCCAAAGAACAAACAGTGTATACAGGTTTTGAGAGATCTGCTATTCCATCCAACTGATCTTCCATTTTTAACCTTTTTTGAAGAGCTGACTCGAGGATAAATGCACAAAAATTCGAATGTACCTGTACAGTCCTGTACCTCTGCAAATGGCAATACACTAACTAATATCTAATCTAATCTCAAACGTAAATACTAAAGCTACTCAACCGCTCTAGTCTCATGTTCATATACAGTTAAGTCATTGCTGTTAATGTTTCCCTGATGGGTACAATATTACCAATTTTATTTTTTGATTACTATTTATACTGTAAACCTAAACATATGCTCTTGATAACTTCACAATGGAGCTTGTTTGCAGTGTCTCTAAAACAGTATTGTGGATCAAACATGATGAAGTACTTACTTCAGTACTTGTGTCAACTTCTGATCAACGATTCATACGTTTTTTTGTTTTCCAGCTTCTTTGGATCCTACAGTTTGGACATAATGGCGAGCTCTTTATTGAGTGTGGATTTGGACACAATTAACAACCCTCAAGTCCACTCATCACATATGCCAATAAGCTGTTCAGATTTCCCATACTTCTCTTTCTTTTCCAAGGTAAAGTTGTATCCATGACACCTTTTGTCTTATTTTGAATGAATATTTAAGTTTTCCGTCTACATTTAGAGATGCTAACCACATGTCTATTTTCAGGGTGCTTTCCATTTGCTCTTCCGCTATTGGAGCTAATGGGTTTCTCATTGTTCCCCAAGAGTTCTACTAATTACTTTAAAAGGTTTGTGGAGAAGATCAGGCAGCAACGCAATGGAAACTCACAAAAGGTTTGTACAAAACACACCCTGAGATGGTCTATATATGGATAGAATGTTGCATCATTTTATAGTTATAGTGGGAAACACATCTCATGATAGTTAGGGTTTACCAGGTTCCATAAATTCAATAAAGAAACCATTATCTGATAGTTGCTTAACAATCTCAGCTGAAGATTACTTTCATAGAGTTTCCCATTAAATCATGTTATTTAAAATGGGGTCTGCCCAGTTGTCATGAAAACTGAGATGTTCATATCTTTTAGATTCCCCAAGATATTTTAGGTCTTCTTTGTGGCTTCTGTAGCTTTCCAGGATCTTTCCATCATAGATTAGGCTCTTGTAACTAAACACTGGGAAACACTGGAAAGTAAATCTACCTTTTTTGCAAACTGCTGTTTCAATCTGACAAAAAAAGGACTTCACTGAATTTCAAGTCCATCATAAAAAATTTGATGTTGACTAAATGACTTGTTTTCAGAATTCAAGAGATATGCTTCAAAATATGATTGACAGCCAGACCGACAATAAATCCAAGAAAGAAGGGGAGAATAAAAGTAAGACGACGTCACACAAATTCATGCTTGTGAATTCACACCAGAGGTCTGCCTCCTTTCATCTTACTCCCCGTTGGTGCATCCTGTCTGCCCTTACAGAGCTGACTGATCATGAGATCATTTCTCAAGTGACCATGTTTGTGTTCGCTGGTTACGAGACAAGCGCCACAACTCTCACTTTCCTTGCCTACACTTTGGCCCAAAACCCTGCAGTCATGAAACGCCTACAGGAGGAGATAGATGTCACCTTTCCTGATATGGTTGTTTATTCTATTTTTATATTTTTATTAAAGAATCTAGTTACAGTTGTTTCTGCATTGTGTTTAATCAAACTGTTATCTTTAACCCCTTTACAGGGTCCAGTCCAGTATGAAGCCCTGATGCAGATGGAGTACTTGGACAGCGTGGTCAATGAGTGTTTGAGGTTAAAGAGTATTTTCTTGTGCAAGTTGGCAAGGCCAACCCTAGATATTTTGTTCAATTTTGTTTTGTAGTCATCAAATTGTTGAAATGAAAATGTTCTGTTCTCCATGTAAGCCATGTTTGCTTAGTTTGTAGGATGATATTAGAAAATTGTGATGGTTTATTTCAAATAACTATAATGACACTGTTTTTGTTGTTAATGCAAGAATAGGTAGGTTTAGATTGAATGTTTGTTCCAATAAAAACCAACATTATTTAAATATATTCCTTCTTTGTCATAAGGCTCTACCCTCCAGCTGCACGTCTGGAACGAGTGGCTAAAGAAAAAGTAAAGATCAACGGGATCACAATCCCAAAAGACATGCTTGTGATGGTTCCAGTCTACGCTCTGCACCACGACCCCGAGCTTTGGCAGAGCCCAAAGAGTTCAGACCTGACAGGTAGAGAGTTTATGTGTACTGTTAACTTTTCTTAGTGACTAACTATTAATCCTTCTCTGAAGCAACTTTTAATTCCAAGTATCAGTGAGCTACAAAATATTGAAGAAATTGTTGTTCAAACTTTGAACATTTTTACAGACAGGTGAAACCAATTAAAAGCCAATGCTTCCTATAGTATTAATTCTTTATGAATTTAATTTGTGTTTCTTTAAGATTTAGTAAGGAGAACAAGCAGAACATTAGGCCATACACTTACTTGCCGTTTGGGGCTGGGCCGAGGAACTGTATTGGAATGCGATTTGCTCTGCTGATGGTTAAACTGGCCTTGGTGGAAGTGTTGCAAAACTACAGCTTCTCAGTCTGTGATGAGACAGAGGTAATTTCATTATTATTTAAGCATTCTTTGGTTAACATGGTCAACATGATTTCTTTTGCATAATAAACGATATAATTATTTTAAGAGAGAGCATCTGATTCAGTCAGTATGATGCTTTTCCTAGATCCCTTTGAAGATGGACCCTGAAGGCCTCGTTGGACCATTGAAACCAATCAAACTGAAGGTGGTGACACGATCAAACCAGTGCAACTAGAGATTGGTCCGGGTCAAACAGCTCTTGTGGTTGAACAATCATATAAATGAGTAACTTAAGTAACTAAAAATGCTTCTTTAGTTTACGACTGACATTTTTCATCTGTACTTTCAGTTTATATTTTGATAACCAATCAAGCTTCAAACCCAGTACTCTGGTTGGATAAGAGGTATTCCATGATTGCTAACATAGAGTATAACAGCACTGGGAATGATATCGTTGTGTATCTCTGCCTCAGTCGGGTGTTTAAAATTGTGTTAATTAACATTATGATGGTGTTTGTCTTGACTGATCACGCTGGAACCTCTGAATCATGGAGGCAACTTAAGCAACTGCCAACAGACTCTTATTTCACTGCCTACATGATCAAATGAAACATACAGGTGAATGCAAACTAAACAAAGTAGGTGGCCTGCTGAATTGGTGACATACACAAAGTTACAAAAGTGCAGGAGAAGGTTTTGGTTGCTCAGCGACTGTTCAACTCTAAGCAAGAAAAATAACTTGTTATAATTTGTTGTTTCTTGTTTTGTTTCCTAACACAAAGTTCTGAATTTAAATACACTAATCTAAAGTAAATTATCCAGCACATTAAGTGTTGATTAAAAATAAAGAACACCATTGTGACCAGTGGCAGATGTGTCAGGGACACAACACTGTTAACATTCTTCTGTTAAATATAGTTCACTGCGCTTACCTAATAAATGGAGAATATGACAAATGTTTCTGTTCATCTCAGAAGACTCATTGTGCTTTATGTGGAATTATTCTTTGTGAAGCCTGTTCTTTTACATTTTGATTAAAGGGTATTCATCTGTCCAGTATCAGAAGTCTCACTCACAATTTTCCTGTAATGAAAAGTTCACCTGCAAAAATGAGCAAAACACTCAAATGATTTCCTTGTCAATAAGTTCCTCTAAATGTGTCACTGTTTTAACCTAGATTTGTTGCTAGCTTTAAAACAGCTAAGACACTTGGTGCAGTGTCATTAAAATACCATCCATAAAAGCTGTGATGGTGGTCACCTGTGCTCTGCAGCCTGCACTTTAGAAAGTCCAATCCACATGTTGTGTAATCGGTGGTTAAAGGTCTATGACTTTTTGTGAGTGGACTTAAAACATATCGAACAATTTCTAGCCCTGACACATGTCCGAACAATAAATTATAACATAAACTGATGTGAGCGTTTCACCTGCCTAAATACACAGAAGTGAAAGCATGAGTTACATGTGGATAAAGCAGACCACAGTGAAACTTCACATATGACTCATCTGTCACATGTGAAGGTGTGCTAAATTTGGTAAGAAGGTATCTGGAGCTGTCACAAAGGGAAAGGTTACGGTTGGTTTGTCTTGTTGCGCAACGTTAAGCTCAGTCAAGAACCGGGACCAACTTTGACATTAATACTGCAACAACAACACATCAATCAAACGTTTTTTGTTTTTTTTTAACCTTCTGTTAGGTTAACAAAACGAGGCGCTATTGTCTTAATATTCATATTTGATTATCACATAAAACCGAAAGTCTTTAACTTTATCAATGTTTCCTCTTTTCCTTGAACGAGTCAAAACCAGTTTTCACAGTGACGTTAGTTCATCAGATAAAGCTTAATAGCCTGCTAGAAATGTAAATAAAAACACTGTCATACCATCTTAAGAGGGTAAAGAAACACACCATATCAAGCCATTCAGCCAACACAATCATTGGTCATTGCACAACCTGTAGCAGTAAAACATCATCTCCATAAATGGACAGTGTCAGCTTTGAGGTAGAGAGAATGTATTTATTATTACACTCTGTGGGATACAGCTCCCAGCTGCTTTACAAAAACCTTTACAGTTGTAAATAAGAAAAAAAAATGTACAAAACATCTTCATACTAAATTGTTTATATTATTAGATACTTTGAGGTGAGTTTTGGTGACACAGGAGCATAAAAATCACTGTAAGGAGGAATTAAAGATAAAAAGAGGCACGAAAGTCCCGCTCCCAGTTCTTGTCGTTTTGCTCCTTTCTCCTACTATGTTCCTTCCTTTGTCCTTTCCCTCTTTTCTCCTGCTTCTGCTTGGAAGATTGTTTCACTGCGTCGGGATCCCTGGCTTGAAAGTGAGTAATTTTGGCTCTTTTTGCCTCTCCATACCCAAGGCCTGTCTGATCTCTTTTCAGCACTGTTGGCACTGGTTGTTTGGGCCCCTCTCCTTCTGGTCCCAGCCCCGTTCCTGGTTTCCAACCGCACTGGACCATCATCTTGTAGCTGTTGCTGGAGGGGGGGAGGCAGTAGTAAGGGGTGGGAGAAGGGCGTCGCAGACTGAACTGATGGAGAGTGGATGAAAGATGCGATGACAGGCTGTTGCTGTACTCGCTACAACACACGCTGCACCACTGAGGCGGGGGGCACTGGGAACAAACAGAGGAAGAGACATTATTAGTGAGAGGAAAATGCTAAAGGAACTGTTTATAGAGTATTTAAGTCTTTTCAAAAAGACCAGCGTGTAGGATGGGCATATTATCTATCGACAAAACTAATATTAAATCTACCATCCTGTTTTCCTTACTGTAATATCACCTGAAAATAATTTTGAGCTACCTTAGAGAGAGCTCTAAATCTACAGAGTGGGCAGGTTTCCTACAAGGAGTCCATCATTTTGCGGTGCAAGATTTTTTCAAAGCCTAAAATGGACAAAGCAAATCTTTTGGTGTTTTTTCTTTTTTCCTTCCAATTTTTTGTGACCCCAGTTCTTTGGTTCTCCTATATGTTCAGAGGGGCGAGGTGATAGTCAGCTGAAAACTGTTAAACCAAGATCTAACTTGCATCATTACATCCACCATTATATCAGATTTGTAACCAACCAAATATATAACCTAATTGCGATGAACTTGTGACACCAAATGCACATTTGTATAGATATTTTGTGAAATAAGACTTTCCCAATGTACTGTACTCACTGGGGTTTAGAGATGTATGCAACTTATAGTGAGCTAACCTGCTGTCAGGCTGTTCTTCGCTCTGAGGGCTTCTCCGCAGCTCTCCAGCTCCTCCAACACCTCACTGTGGCCAGCTGGGGGGGAAAATCAATATGAATGAGAACATCGTCACTGCACACAACACAGAATTTAGTGTTGCTTACAGGATTTGTCATGGCTGTACCTTCAAGGGCCAGGTCTTTGGCATCCCTGCCCTGTGTGTCAACCACTCCGACCCAGGCGGCTCCGTGTTGCAGCAGCAGCTTCACTGCAGCTCTCTGTCCTGACCAGCTGGCACACATCACTGCTGTCCAAAGTAAGTATCCTAAAGGGAAGACCGTTAAGATTAAATCAATACAAATAATATATTTCCTCCTTCTTCAACCTGATCAGTAAGTGCTGTACCTGAAAGTTGATGTCTACCCCCTTTAGGAGCAGATCTCTGAGGCTTGAAATGTCCCCTTCATGGGCACAGCGCAGTAACCTGAGTCCAAGGAGCTCCATGGACCTCTCCGAGTTGTTTGTCTCTCTGCTTTGGTTTCCCTCACTTTCACCATCATTCCCTTGTTGGAGCACAGACTCAGTTTGACGCTGCGGCATCTCCGCAGCCCTGTCTCTCCTCCTCTCTCTTCTTCTGGAGCCTCTCTTCCTCTGGTGCTCTCTGCCATTCACATTGCTTCTTGAAGCCCTTGATGCATCTTGATCGGTATCCTCTTTTATAAGATGTTCGTAAAACTGCCTCACCTGTTCCCCACTGAAGGCGCTCCCTGTTTTGAGTTGGTAGGTTCAGCAGATTCAATGCTGAAAATATCCTGCCCGCTAGCACGCGTAAAGCCAAGAGCAGCCATAGGAAGAGTCTGAGCTGGAGCTTTTTTTTTGGAGGATTTAAAAAGCTATTTGATGCAAATGAACCAGCTAACGTGGTCAGTGGTTCGAGCCGTCGAGGTTACACTGACACATCATTCTTCCATTACATTTGAAAAAAAACAATAACCAGACCGACTTTTACCCGATAAACAAACCCTGATAGCCCACAAAAGCTTCTTCTAGTTTACAAGAGCTCATTTCCTGTTTGTAAACATTATTAGAAGTTAGTTACACTGCCCCCTAAAGTCCTGGATGTTCCCATTTCCATTGAATCAACTTCACCTACTTGAGTAGAAGGTTTCGATACCCTTGTGTAAAATTTTGCATTTCAAATTCCATTGAAGTGGAAAAATGTCAGACAAATGTCATTATTTACATTTATAATTATCATAAGTAGAATCAGATTCTTCGCACTTAACATATTTGGAAATATGTTTTTAAAGGCAGTCATGCATACATTTTAAGCAGCATTTAATGTTTCATCTGGTCTATGTAAATCTTTGAAATGAATTGTTAGTCAGGTGACTGTAGCAGTGAATCACACTTTACATTGTATGTTTTACTGTAAAATCTTAATCTGCTGGGTAACCTTTATCAGTCACTATCAATTACTTTTGCGCTTTACATTAGTACAGGGGTGTCCAAAGTGCGGCCCCGAGGGCCATTTGCGCCCTTGAGGGGATTTTTTGCGGCCCGTGACTTCAAATGAAGAATCAGAAGATTTTGGCCCGAGGCCTTGATTAAGATTGGCACATTATCTTATTTTTCTTTTTCATGTTAACAAGGGCTGAACAATATTCCTAAAATAAAATGTTCAGTAACATGTATGTTTTTTTTTTTTTTTTTTAAATCTACAGCTTTTACCATTTTCACATTTTTTGTAAACTATGAAAGTTTTTGCAAACAAGCGGACTGTTGTTTAACCATTTAATGACCTGAGCTAAACGCAGAAAGCGTTCCAAAAAAATGAACCACGTTGCAGGATTGATTCTGAGAAAAAAACAAATAAAGTAGAACAAAGAAATCAAAATATTTGATTTCCTTTTATTAAAGGGTTTCTTTAGCGAGCCTTTTGATTCTGATCTACAAAGCCGTACTATTTTTTCAACTATATTCTAAAAAACAAAACCTGTGGCCCGCGAGCGATTCTAACATGACAATTTTGGCCCACAAGAAAAAGTTTGGACACCACTGCTTTAGTGCAATATTTCCCTGAGGTACATTAGGAACTTCATACCTAACTGTGGTCTTGTCAAAGTATGACACACTTTTAGTGTCAGCAGCACCCTCATGTGGTCAGCTTGTAATTAGACCTTCAAAGTTTTTTACTCCTTATACATTCAATAAAAATATAATATTGTTGTTTGCAAAGAGGAAAATATAAATTTGCATCCCTTAAATAGATTTTTACATTTAAAATAATTTTTGATGTACACAAGTTCAGTCCTTTATTCAAAAAAATAGTCTTAATAAAATATATGATTGATGTATAATTAGCCAATAATTTAGATATACATGTACAGATACCATTTAGGTTTGTTTGATTTAGTTTAAACCTTATTGACAAGCATTTAACATACTGTATGCAGCTTTCATGTTTATCATTCACAAACTTTGTTCATGAAACTCGTTACATGAGTAATAGTTTATTTTTATGGCACTTTTGTATGTACAAGTACAAAATGCTCAGTTACAGCGAAGCTTAAACGTCTTTAACAAAAAAAAAATTAAAGTACAATATCATGATGTCACATACTGCGATAGCGAGGACAACACATATATGGCAAGTGTCTTTTAAGTAACAACAGATCATATACATTTTTACCGGCAGACTCAAATGACGTCAACCAATCTACAAGGCAAGAATTTAGTTCTGATCTCAACTTGTTAGTGTGGCAAGTTTTAGTGTGCAATATTTGTATTAAGGACGAGTCAGGCACAAGAGTGAGGGAGATGATTAATCATGCAGAGCCTCTGGAAAAAGTGTTGACGTAATGACACTGAAGAGTCTGGTTTGAAACTCATAAAAAAATAAAAAAATTAAAACACCCAGCACAGCAGTGACATGATTTGATGACAAAATTGACTACTTACACTCAGAGAGAAATCAGTGATTTTCCCATGTCTTCCCCCTTATCCACAAAGGAGAAAAGTGCCCCCAAATGCTCCACATTTATGAGCTTGTTTACAAAGAAGCCAGGGAAGTAAAGGAAGTTTCCTGTATTGAGCAGCCATTCATATCAGACCATCCTTAAACACACAAATGTTTGTAGTGCATCATCCTCATTTTAACATCAGAAAATCACTGTCACAACTAACTTTTATGGCATTTGAAGTGTTTATGGTAGGCTAAGTTTTCTGAATTTAACTTTCATAATGTTTTTTTATTCTTTCTTGGAAAAATAAACAAATTATACTCCAACACTGTAACAATCAACACATATTAGGACCTGTGTCCACCTAGCGTTTTTTTCTGGGCAGAAAAGCGCTGGCACGTCTGTCTTGTCTCTATCACAACAACCTTTTGACAAGGCAGCTATATGACCGACTGTTACTTTTTACTGTATGTTTTTAATTTTGATTGTTTATTTCCCAATCAGACACGGAGCAAAGAGCATGTGTGTACAAGACACGAACCGTAGGAGAGAAAAATACAAGAAATATCATACATTTGGAAAGAGTGCCGGTGACCTCAACAGCGCCTTAAATGAAAAGTTGAAAGATTTTCAACTTGAGCGCTTGGAAAAAAAAGACGCTGGGTGCTGCACTTTTTCTCCAGGCTGCTGCTGTTTTTATCTTATTGAAAAAAAGATGCTGGCGCTCAGAAAAATACGCTTAGTGGACACGGGGCCTTAGGCTTTAAAGGCATAATCTGTGACTATCAGAGGGTCCAGTACATGTAGCACTTAAGCACGAGTCTCTCAGACCAATACAAAACTTATATTTGGACAAACCTCCTCTGTACCTCAGCACACTAACCATTGGAGAGAGAGGGGTTTACTTGTATGAAACAAGTTTGAGCTTCTGAGTGACACATAAACAAGCTGAAGCAAGCGTCACGTAGTCTGAAGGAATGAAGAGCTAACAACGATAAACGTAGAGGGAGTTCGACTTTTTTTTAACAATATATACTGTATGCTAAGATACATTTGATTTCTGCACCTTCTCGTGTGTCTTACCTTTAATAATCAACAATACGCAAGACACGGCTGACTTTCAACTCAATTCGATTTTATGTGCTCTCAGTTTAAGCCAACACCTCAAAGTGTTCCCTAATTTAGAAGAGATGTTATGGCCCAGGCTGTGCTGGTAAATTTAAAAAAGCCCTACAAACATGCAAAATCACCGTAACAATCATTCAGAAGCAGCTACCAAAGCTTCTGTTACTACAGAATCTTATTAGTGGAATTTACTGATATGTCTGTTTCTGTCCCCAGTCTGTGTGAAGGTCTGTCCACAGTGGGGACAGGAGTACGGCCTCTCCCCCGTGTGTATCCTCATGTGAACATTCAGTTTGTCTTTGCTAATAAAGCGTTTGCTGCAGCAGGTGCAGGCATATGGTTTGTCCCCCGTGTGATAGCGTTGGTGCATTTTCAGCTCCGTCATGCGGCCGTAAGTCCTTCCGCACTCTGGGCACTCGTAGCTGGGCCGCACCTCCAAGTGCTGCCTGCTGTGCAGCCGCAGCCCGCTGGATGACCTGAAGGTCTTGTTGCACTGTGAGCACTGGAAGGGTTTCTCTCCGGTGTGGATGTGGGCGTGCAGCTTGAGGCTGGCAGCCGAGGGGAAGCCGTTGCCGCAGATGGAGCAGAGGTGGGGTCTCTCTCCTGTGTGGATGCTCAGGTGCTTATCCAACTTGTTCTTGTTCAGGAAGGTCTTGCCGCAGATGGGGCAGTTCAGCGGCTGCTCGCCCTCGTGTGAGATCATGTGGTCTGTTAGCTCGATCAGAGAACAGAAGGCACTGTCACACCGAGTGCACGAGTATGGTCGCTGCTTCTTGAATTTCCTGTGTTTGAGGCAGTGTTGATCTAGATCTTCCTTCTCCTCAAAGGTCTCAATACAACATGTGCACTGGTATGGTCTTTCTTCCTTATGAGTCCGCAGGTGATACTTAAAAGCTGTAATCTGTAAAAAGACGCTGTCACAGTGTGGACATCTGGATTCTCGTCTGTCGTGGACCATGATGTGCCTTTTATAGTGAGACAGCTTGATGAAGCGTTTACGGCACAATGAACAGTAGTACTGCTCATTCTGGTGGCCCTGCTCGTGCTTTTTCAGCGCATACTCCACCTTAAACTTCTTACCACAGGTGTTGCATGTGTATGTCTTTTCATGAGCCCCCATGTGTGCCTCAAGTTCTTCAGGACTACTGAACTTTTCGTCACATTTTGGACAAGTCCCATTGTTTTCTTTCACGTGAACCTCCAAGTGTTTGTTGAGGTCTTCTGGGAAAGCGAAAGTCTTCTGACAATCGGGACATGTGTAACACTCGCTATTCGACGCTTTACGATGACTCATTATGTGTCTTTTCAAATGATACATTCTACCAAATACTTTCCCGCAGTCGGCACAGACAAGGCTTCGAGGGTTGTTAATTTTTTTGTGTATTTTGAGATGACTCACAAGCGCAGACTTCTCCTTGAATTGTTTATCGCATGCGAGACACGTTAGGCCTTCCACAGCGTGAGTCCTCTTGTGTGTTTTCAGTTCAAGCCAGCTACTTAAACTTTTCCCACATTTAGGACAGATGTACTGACCAAGGTCGTGCTTGTTCCTCAGGTGTCTGGTCATGTGGTAGGACTGGCTGAAGGTCAAAGAGCAGACTGGGCAGCTGAACGGTTTCTCCTTCGTATGAGTTCTCATGTGTCTGGCAAGTTTGTTTGACCCCCGGAATCGTCTGTTGGGACATTGGGGACAGACATGCTCCTTGGATTTAGTCTTAGTTGTGACTTTCTCTTTCTCTGCACCTCTATCTTCAGATTCAGCTTCATTTATATCCTTCTTTTCAGTCTTAAACATAACTTCAGACCCTTTTTCCTCAGAGTCACTGTGACAAATGTCATCACTAATTTCAGGAACATTATCATTGCAAGCATCACTCTCAGGATATTCTCCTGTTGATGATTGGATTATTTCTCCACTATTCACCTCATCACTTTCCTGGGAACTCTGTCCCTCTATCTGGTTTGACTGGTCTTTGCTGTGTGATAACAAATGAGTGAAATATGCGCCTTCCTTTGTAAACTCTTCATGACAAACTGGACACAACTGAACTCTTGGTCCGTGTGTTCTTTTGTGACTTTGCAGCTCTGAGTAGGTCTCTAAACTTTTCCCACAGTGGAGCAGATGTGAGGGCCTGCACTGTGCTGGTTCCTCATGTGTCGTGTCATGTGATACGACTGGCTGAAAGTCGTCGCGCAGATGGGGCAGTTGAATGGTTTCTCCTTGGTGTGCGTCCGCATGTGTCTGGCCAGCTTGTGTGCATCTCTGAAGCGTCTGTTGTCACAGATGGGACAGTAGGGCCCTTTAAGTTTAGTCGAAGACGTGACAAAGTCTTCGTCTTCTTCATCATCATCATCATCGTCATCAACGCCATCACTTGCTTTTTCAGAAACGTCTTCCTCCATCCTCTGTGATAATGACACGGCTGAATCATCATCCTCCGTGTTAATACTGTATTTATCACAAGCCAGATTAGTCTCCTCAGTATTATTAGAATTATCTTCCACATTGTCGCTGTAATACAGCATATCGTTCATGTAATAATAATTATCTTTGTATCTTGATGGTCTCGGAGAGATTTTAGTCGTACATGGTTCAGTTTTACTATTTGCCTTTTTCTCTCCTTTTCGAGGTCGACCCCTTTTGGCCTTTTTTTGAACAGGAGGGTTAAACACGTCTCCGATACCAACACTGACTGTGGCATTGCTGGATATATCACAAGCCAGATCCATCTCATCATCATTATTAAAATGTTCTTCCTCATTGCCACTATAATACAGCATATCATCCATGTAACAATATTTATCTTTGCATCTAGATGGTCTCGGTGTGATTTTAGTCAAGAGTGATTCAGTCTTAATTTTTGCCCTACTCTCCCCTTTCCGAGGTCGTCCTCTTTTGGCCTTTTTTTGAACAGGAGGATCAAAATCGTCTTCGATGTCCACGCTGACCTCGTGAATACCAAACAGTTCACTTTTCTCAGACTCGACCTCTTTACCAATTACTAACGCTCTATCCAAGGTCAGAGTTGCTCTCTCCAACAGCAGCCTCTCTTTGAGCTGAGGGCAGTTTGTTTTCTTGATCAGTTGATCCAGGATAAGTTTGTCTTGTGAGTCTTCAAAGTTGCAAGGCCTCAGCAGTTCTTCTAACGCAGACACAAACTGATCAACAGTCTCTTCAGGGGCCTGAGCCCTCTGGTAAAATTTGAGGCGATACATCTGAAAGGTCTGATCAGCGCTAAAGTGAACAGTCAGTGCTGAAATAGCTTCTGCATACATGGTTTCACTTTGGATCAGTGCTGTAAATATACGCTGACCCTCTAGACCGAGGCAGTTCTGCAAGAGCAAACACTTACTGAAGTCACTGAGCTCGTGTTCGTTGAGCGCTTCGACATAGTGTTCAAAAGCTTTAAGCCACTTATGCCAAAACATAGAGGGTTTCCCAGGCACAGTTAAGAAAGGTGGAGGTGGGGACAGGATTATTAGTAGTGGCTCTGGCAGTGGCTCCAAGGAGAAGTCTTGTTTCGTCACTTCCTCATCAACTTCAACAGTCACTTCCCCCATTGTTAGTTTTTAGTGTGTTTTTTCCCCCCACTAAGGCTGATTGTTTATCTCCTTGAACTTGGGTCAGAGTCATTGACTTAAGATGTCACCCATGTTGTGTTGTGTTCAGGCGCCTGATGTTTCATCTCACTCAGTCAGTCTGGGAAACTGGGGGAAAAACAAACAAATACATTTTAGGCTCAATTTTGTAATTACTTTCTGTTGCACAAAAATAAATACTGAATTTACAGTTGATAAGGTACACCTCACTATACGCAATGCCATTTTTAAAAACTAAAGACCAGCAATAAAAGGACATTTAAAAAAATAATGGGATTAAGCCTCAATCACTAATCAATGAGACTGATTAAAAACAATTAACAATCAGTAGTATTCATCTGTTGGTGTGTGGATAGTATTTCATCAAATAAAAGTGAAAATGATATTAGGGATAACACCCGAATAGTCAAACACTAATGATCATCGCAGAGGCAAAAAAGTACGTCATACGTCTGCTCAAGAAATTTACTTAAGGACAATTTTGTGGTACTGTTCACTACTTTTCAGAGGCAAGCATCGTTAGCATTAACCTAGAACAGGGATGGGCAAATTTGGTCACAGCGAGGGCCACATTCGTTTAATTCTCACTGCCTGGGGGGCCAAATTGTAGAATACAAAAAACGATTAAAGTCGATTATGTCTCAAATTGAACTCAACATATACCAGTGATCAAATATTATCATGGACATATTTCTGGTTTTCATGATTTCATGGTAGATTTTGTCATGTTTTCCAATTAATTGATATGTAAAAATTGACCCTGAGGGCCGCAGGTGGCCCCCGGGCCGCCAGTTGCCCACCCCTGACCTAGAACATTAACATTGACTAAAACAAAAATAAATACAATCCCCTGACAAAAGACCAACGGATTTTCATTTAACACTTGAGGTACAAGGACTTAAAATATTCCAATATTCCACATAAAAAGGGGAGAAAACTGAAAAGTTCTAATAACACCTTTCCTCCACCAGCTACAACAACGTAGGACAACGTGTCCTGTTGATATTTTAATAACATTTAGCAGATTACACGTTTACACCAACTCTAACATCAAAAGGATTTTAAATGCATGACTTTTACTGGTATTTAAGTATTTTATCTTTGAAATAAAACCTGAGTTTGACCACCTCAGTACTGTGAGACCTTTGAGTCGCCAGTGATTCGGTCGATTCGGGGCCCTGTCAGGGTGTTGGGGGCCCTATCAGGGGTTTAGGGGCCCTGTCAGGGTGTTGGGGGCCCTATCAGGGGTTTAGGGGCCCTGTCAGGGGGTTAGGGGCCCTGTCAGGGGGTTAGGGGACCTATCAGGGGTTTAGGGGCCCTGTCAGGGGTTAGGGGCCCTGTCAGGGGGTTAGGGGACCCTGTCAGGGGGGTTAGGGGACCCTGAGTGAGGTAAGCAATTCAGATGTTTCACAGCGAGGTTTGCACTGTTGACTTGTGGCTTTTATTCAACCCTGTCCAAACATATTGGATACATATCTACGATTTGCGATCAACAAATCCCAGTTAACTCAAAATGTGACAATTGCGACCACAGTCGTGCTCACGGATACAAAACGTCGTATTTCAGCGACGCACTCCTGCAAGGTCGAAAGCGACATTTCCAAGGCATGTATCCGCTCACAGCTGAGTAACGCTGACATAATATCGAGATGACTTGTAATAAGAAATTGGAAGCAGACAAAACTCACCAAAGCAAAGTGGGTCACAAGTCACGACAGACAGAAGCTAACGTTAGCCAGCTCCGTATCCAAGAGCCGTGCGGGGTGGAGAGATCCTTTTTTTATATCTGCAGATTCAGCTCGCTGCAGCTCTGCGGTGTTTTAAATCTTGTATTTTTTCTATGATTGTGATTTTAATGTTGAGATGACTCTAAAACATTGAAAGGCAAAGCATGAAGTGGAAAACATATCCGCCATGCTGACTGTTCTTCTTCTTTACATTACAATTCCGTTTTTTGGTTTGTTTTTTTTAACCACCGCCCTACAGCGCCGCCTGCTGGATGTGAAACAAATTACACCGGCCATTCAAGCAAACCCCTTTAGGATTCTTTTTTTTGTTGATTTGGAGCCAGCTTTTTTAAAATCCAGAATGTTTTTGAAACCATACATTTATTTATGTTTAGTTGTGCTTTTGTTTTGCTGTCACCTTATCAATTAAAGCAATGATTGACATCTAAAAAACTGTTAAACTGCACCATAAATCATTTTCAGTTTACCTCTATTTTGTTAAAGTAGAGAAAGAAATATCAGGAAAACAAGAAAAACTCAAGAAAAAAACTCTAATCTGTGTTCCTGGTACATTACACATATAAAATAACTTTAACAAACCCTTTATTTAATATCATGTGGCAGTTTGTGAGAAGCACACCCCATCTACTCTGAATGCACTTTGAGTTATCTCTTACACAACTATTAAATAATTCAACTAAAGGCCATTTTCCTAAATGCAGGATTGTATTCAAGGAAAGTCAACCTAAGTCTCCCACAGGCTCTTAAATACTAAAATACTGGATAATCATAATAGAAAACAACTGAAAAAGCAGTGGTCCCCCCTTGTTTTTCTACTATTAATGAAAGACACTAACAAACCAGTTTAACAGGGTTCAGCGAAGCAGTTCAAGGGTCAAGTTCAGGTACAGAATGTTATGGTACATTTTAGTTCCGTAAATTTAATGTAGGGGAAGATCCAAGGAGACATGTTAACTGTCTCAGGACTAAATACTTAATCATGTCATGTTTATTATGACGTGTGCTGATGCCCACTTGGCCGGGTCTCCTTTGAGAAAGAGATCTTGATCTCAATGGGTCAGATACCTGGTTAAATAAAGGTTACATAAAGAAAACTAAGACACACCGTTAAACAATGACCATTTATTCACTCACTGTATGAAACTCAAAAAAAGCTTGACAGAGTGAGGAAGGAGAATCTTTAAATTATACATGAGAAAAAAAACGTACAATGACTTTAGTGTGCACTTGAAGAGAGGTACAAAGTACACGTGTCGGCCTGGTTGCAGACAAAAGGGCTCTATGGTTAAAAGTTCACTCACACTCAGTTGAAACAAGAATGATTCTGAAAAATATCTTGTTATGCTGCTTCACAATCACTTCACTGCTGCTGCTGATGATTAATGTTTAACAATCCTCTCTTCATCTTTCCCCTCTTGTCAGTCAGTGTAGCTGAAGACTTCCTCCAGTGCTGTTTTCCTAACATTTCCTTTGAATTACAAAAACATGGTCCAACTAACCACAACAGCACACACGTAAAAAGGGTTTCCCTGTACAAAATCAATCTTAAAAATACAAACTGACATACAATGGCACGCTTTTCTTTGCAGTGAAGAATAGAGAGAAGAACACGTGTCGGACTCAAACAGACACTCAAACTATTAAAAAATTAAACTTGGACAGGATTGAGATGAAATGTGGGGGGTTGGGCTCAGTGCAAGTTTTATGGCTTGGGAGGCCGTGGATTAAGTGACGCTGACAACAGGCAGTAGACAGTAAAAAAAACTTGTTTTTCATATATTTCTATCTTAAATATCACATTGCTTTCAGAAACCACTCTCACTGAGAGTGCCTTAAACTGTGAGAATCCTCCTGCCTCAATCGTGCTCCATCCAGGATCAAGTTCAAATACGCTGATTATTGATTGTTATCTTTTTTTTTTCTTTTCCTCTGTGTGGTGGTATTTTAAAGCTGACATCTCTGTGTGTGCACAAGAACAAGTCTGTCAACAAAAGTTGCTCTCCTCTGCGCCGTCCTCCTCATCCTTAAAGTTCATCTCTTCCGAAAGGCCTGAGTGCGTGTCTGTGAGTTTGTGCACTTCACTGTGAATACAGAAAAGATGAAGCGTTGTGCAGTAATTTTAGGTTCCACCTGCTCAAGGGTGAATTCTCTCTTCGACAAAAGACTGAAGTAGTCCACGTTTTTAGCTCTCCATGGTGAGTCTCTGGAACAGGCATGATTTCTGGTGAGTGTTAAGAGTAATTGTGTGTGTGAGCACAGTGACACAGAGGCCTAAAAGAGTAGGAGAGCGACTCACACTCGCTCTACAACACAGTGAGGATCTTGGTGAAGAAGGGAAGAAGGCAAGTGAGAAGTGTAGGTTTAGTCTTTGGGGCCTTGAGGGCCATTTTGTCACCAGTCCGTCCCACGTCTCCTCATCCTCCCCACCGCAAGCTCCCTCTCCTCTTGTTCATACACACACTGCCCCCCACCTCCTTCATTTTGTGTACATGTGTATTTAAATTTGTGCAGATTATGCCTCTACAGTCAAACAAAGGACGAGAATCCCGTCACAGGCGTGCGGGATCCCGGCGGGTTGGTGTTAGGGTTGACATGTGTGTGTGCAGGCTGCCCTGTGGGTGTGTATGCTCCACCTGTGCTGTGCTGGGTGACCACTGTCTGGTAGTAGGGCTCTGTGTCTGCAGTGGCACACTCCTCGTAAGGAAAAGGATTGCTAACGGCTTTAAGGCCTTTGGGCTGCCGCTTCCACGAGTTGTAGTAGGTGGGGTCACTCATGTAGTGGTTGACAAACGAGTGCTTGGGCTGCTCGTCCTCATAGTCGCTGTCTGTTAACTGGATACAAACACAAACATAGCATAGTTCAGAATCAGCATTGAACATTTTGAAGAAGGTTGTTGAGAGCTCATGGATTTTAGCCAATTTTTTTTCTAAATTCTCAACCTTTCCTTTTTTGGCTTACATCACAACATAAAGAACTTCAGTTCTATTAAATGTTCACCAAACATATTCACAATATGCATGACAGAACTGAGCGTAAATGGAAGATTTACCTGAATTTCTTTTCCTCATTTCAAACTAATTGATAGTTGCAAATAGTTGCATTGTGGTCTAACAGTTACACCAACAAAGTAAGTACTGAAAGATGATCAGAACATCTGCAGCATACTGAGGAGGAGTTAGGAAATAAACAATGGGACTGAATCAAGAGTACAAAACACCAAGTAAAATGTAGCTGATTATTAGTTGGTTGTTGCTAAAATGTAATTGTTGTGTTTTTGGGTTCTGTGGCGAAGAAGTCTCAGGCCATAAACATTAAGGGTACATGATGAGTTTTTTTAACGCATATGTCATATTTATGGTGTGTTTAAATTCATCTTTGACGACCGATTGACAACAGGCCAATAAATGAAGTGAGACAGGGAGATAGACACAGAAAGAGAGAGAGAGAGAGAGAGAAGTATAAAGAGAGAGTGGGAGAGAGCTACCTCTGACTCAGAGACCTCAGTGGGTTTCTCAGTGAGTGTGGTGCTCTCCGTCAGCACGGCTCCGTTATAGTTGTTACAAATGTCCTCATCAGAGTAGTGAAGAACTCCTGGACTCGGCCTGGGAGGAGACCTGAACAAACACACGCACATTAACCATGAATGTAACATATAAAAAAAATAATAATAAGGGATCAAGAAAGATGGGTGTGCGTCTTTGTGAGTGAATAAGAGTGTACACACCTGGTGCCATTCTTTTTCAGGAAGGCGTTCTTGGTGTTGAGCGTTCTGCTGTTGAGCTCCAGAGCGGTGAACCCTCCATTGTCCAGTGTCACTGACTCCTCTGCTGTGGACATGTGCTTCGCTGGAGGAAACAAAATAACGGTTTCAGAGAAAAACAAAAGTGAAAGCATATTTTTGTGCTGTAGAGTTTATTCAGCTACCCCTCAGTCCTGAGAATGAAAAGCAAATGGCAGCAGAAAGCATACTGTGGCACTCAGATAATATCACACAGAAAATACATTTTAATTTATTCACCAATAAACATAAACATAGAAAAAAACATCAAATTTTCTATCGTTGCCTGCATCCTGATCATTCTCTCCCCCCTTTTCTGTTTGTTCATTCATCCAGCCTTCTGCAGAGCCTCCTCATGGCGTTTCATCGCCCTGCTGCACAGAGGTTGTGCCAAGGTTTCCCTGGCAGCTCTGATTAACAGCTGTCCTGATGTAACCTGCACTTGTAAGTGCTAACCTTGAATTACAGATGTTGTCATGCACACACACACATGCGCACACATACACACACACACACACACACACACACACACACACACACACACACACACACACACACACACATAAACACACACACACACACACACAAAAAAACAATGGCCGTCTGTGCACTGCTGCAGTTACAACTGAGGACATCAGGACATCACTAGAAGCCTGAGAGGAGGAGAAACTCTGATAAAACCAGGAAGAAAGCTTTAGAAGAGAGGCTGGGATAAACATCACACAACAAAAGCATGTTCATGTCCTGAGGAGGAGGGAGTTTAACACTAATATTCTTGAGTAAGACACTGAGGCCTTGAGTTTCTGACGGCTGATGTGAAGCTGGTACAAGCTAAAATCTCATTAGGGTCATAATCTCTTAGGGACCTCTCATCTCAAATCCAAGTGGATATTCCTGCCAAATTTGCAGGAATTTCCTCAAGTCCTTCCTGATATTTAGTGTTTACAAGAATTGTGCAGATGGAATTGTTAAATTGAAAAGCCTATTTTTTTTTAGCACTCCTCTAAAGCGGTTCAGGGCTTTAGGGAGATAACTTTTCTGGAGATTCTTCAGGGTGCTGTTTGCCTTGAAGGAACAAGGCTAACCTTGTTTTTCTCTCTCATACAGCCTTACAGGTGAAAATAGTCCCAAAGGAACGAGACAGCTGTAGGCGATTTCACTCTACAGCTATTATAACTTTAGTGATGTGTGTCTCAACTTTTCAGAACCACAATAATTGGCATACAGTTCTGTAAATCAGTGGAGGGTGTGTGGGCTTTATGATGATGACACCAAAAAGAAAAAGCATCCTCTTCAAACAATCATTTTCTTAATTACACAGATAATAATAACACTTCACCAGTATTTCAAACTATACAATGTTACATAACAGCAGGTCCATGAGAGACACACCTG